CCCCCCCCCCCCCCCCCCCCCCCGCTTATACAATTCGATACACTTGTAGTGACGGGGCGGTTATTAGACAGCAGGGCCTACTATTTAACTACGGAATACTTCTTAGGATTAACTAGACAACTACGATACTGATAACTAATCAGAAGCTCAAGTAAGGGTAAATCCTACCATTGCTTGCAGCACTGTAGAATCTCGAAGACTCGACGGTGGAGCTCCACGAAGCTACGTAGACTCGAGATCAGGGGAACACAGCAGACGGCATGTAGCGCGGTTGCAGTTCCAGTTCCAATCTAACCTACCCAGTATGGGATATGGCCAGGAAAACTACCGCGGGTGTCGCCAAATGCGGGACTTGCGCGCATATACCCGCCAGAACCGTATTGGCTCAGGCTGAATCACTACATTATTCCCCACTTAATGAGTTTGAAGCCTACTTCTAACTAAAACTAAACTAAAACTAACTTAAAACTACTCCCGTACCGCAGTGCGGGGTCACGCCGTTCCCGGTGTGTGAATCACTACACACTGGTTCATCTGAGAAATAAAAAAAAATCCCTCCAAGCAGCCCGCCAAAGTTAAAAGCGCTGAATTATTTTTATTGCTATCTTTTTATGAATCTGTGGCTATTATGGGCTAGTTCATTTGTGGAAAATTTAGTTCTTCAATTCTTTAATTAATTTTTGATGTAATTAATGTGCAGCGTCCCGTACGTCAAGCAGCACATTAATTACATCAAAAAAAGATAGCGATATAAATAATTTCATCTGTTGTTATTTCTTGTTTAAAGTCTCTGAATGTCCTGTACGTCACAATCCAAATGGCTTGGACCTGCTCTACAATGGACCCCATGCCATACCCTATTTAGCTGAAGCGCTGAAGAATAAACATTTTTTTCACACACATTCTGCACATTAATTTACATAACTCGAGTCAAAACTAAGATTTTTTTTTTTTTTTTAAATGCTTAACTTCAAATATGATGCTCCTTGACTTGACCTTTATATGAAATAACAAGTTTTATGTGTTTGAACTTAATAATGAAGAAGTCTGATCTTACTCTTCTTCCCTGCATTTCAATTTTTGATAACCAGCTCAATCGACCGCGAAAAACTCAGTCTCAATGGTTTGGTTTGCGGCCACCAATGCAATACAGTATGGTATGCATTGAGTTTATTAAGAGTGTGCAGGGTGTGTGTGAAAAAAATTATAATCTTTAGCCCTAAATCCTGTCTGAGACTTAGGTCAATAATGTTTTTGGTTTGACCTCATGCATCATATCATAGCCAATGATTACTTAACGAGTGAATGTGTGCACATAATATGGCTTTGATAAGTTGTGGGTGAAGATTTGTTTACAATATATTATTAGTGAATTAGTCAATGTAATAGTGTCGTGATTGAATTCATTCAATTGACTCATAAATTTTAATGTGAGTAAACTATTGTTTGAGTTTCATTTGATATGAGACAAAAATTGTCACTTAATACTTCACAAAGGCAGTTCACAAGTGTGATGGTAGAACTAAAATTGCAAACAAGTTAATTAATCAATTTAGCACTGGGTCCCTCAGATGTGATACCATTAAATGGAATATTATAAAGGAAAGAATTATTTTAAAGCATATCTGCTACACCTGATACATATTTTCTCCAAATCAAAATTTCCACATTAAAATAGGTCTTTCCTTTGCATTTTATTGAATGGAGTCACATTTTGAGAAAGTGCATTAGGGCCTATGTAGAGATGTGGCAGGAACATCCAAAGCAGATTTAGAAAACAGGTGTTAGTGATCTACCTATAAATCACTGTAGATAATATGATGCCATTGAGATAATTAAAAGCAACTAAAGCCTTGACTATTTGTTCATCTTAAGGACTGTTTGTTTGTACTTTGTATTCGATCTTTCAAACTTATTTCTCCATGCCACAATTTTGAGATTGATCATGAAAGGGACATTAGTGTAGGTAGAAAATCTTGTTTCAAGAACTTACAACTTATTCTAGAGATACAGTCGCAAAATGAAAAATAAGTTTTTTAAATACCGGTAGATTGATTTTTGGAAAAGTACTATCACTCTACATATAATGGGCAAAATACATACATGTACATACAACAGCTATGGAAGTTTTGAAAGACACCTTAATAATATGCAGCCTGGAAAGATGTGAATATTAATGAAAAAAAACAACATATTGCGAATGAATGAATAAAAGAAATCAAAACATACAAAATAAAATTGAACCAATATTGATTTTCAAGTGTACTTGACATGAAATTTCTTAACAGTGCAATGCACCTTCATTTGATGTTACTGTTATTATCACATTACTTTACTTTTGTTGATGTATTGTAGATATTATTTTGTTTCTGTATATTCCTGTATTTTGTTAAAGGTACTAAATGTATGTCCCATTTACAGGCCAAAATATGAAAAGGTTAAATTGTAAAGGCACTTGAAAAATAATACTAATTTAGAACTTTCCTCTAAACAAAAGGGCTCACTCAATAGTGATTGACAGTTAAGTCTAGAAAGTAAACAGGCTTCCTTGCTTAATTTGAATACTAGGACACTGCTAACGTTTAATTTTCACAGATAGGACATACATGTACGTGATACTATTCATAATTCCTGCAAAGTTCCATAGAATTTGATGTTTGCTGCAAAAGGAATACACTACCTTTGATTGAAGTACCCGGTAGACAATGATTAAAATAGACATTGCATGTCAAATGAAAGCTCATGATCTTAAGAAAGTGAAACGTGTCATACATGTATGTCTTCTCTAAAAATACATATTTTACAACAATCAGACATTTAACATTGAATCTTCGCATCTCCCCCCCCCCCCATAAACGAGACCGAAACCCTACAAATCGGGCGGCTTTGATGATATGTAAATGATTGAAGCAATGCCACCTTCGGATTCACACAATGCCGTATCAACACACGCTAGACGATCGATAGCAGCAATATCATCATCAATTTTAATGATTAATTATCAAGAAAATGAGTGAAATTAGGCCAGACAGTACCGGTAACTTGGATCTGCAGTTTCCATCGTCTCAATCCAGTGACGATGATATTGAATAACTCTTTTTTTAGGATTTACCCCCTAATCTCTATGGTACTATTAATTTTGAAAGTGACAAAATCATGGCATGTACACCTACATGTATGTGTAGATGTCTTGTATGAATTCTATCTATTTCAGTTGTGTGAGTAATGCATTACTCACAGTTGGTTTTCTCTACTTATTGAAATACCGTTATAGAGTTTTTTAGTTGTTTTGTCAGGCTGGCTCATAACAAATGACTAGAAATATATTTCCATCAGATCAACATAACATATTAAAAGGAGTGCCTGCACTGTTAGGCTGTAGGCCTATAATTTTGCACAGGTATGAGACAAATTTGAAAATTCTTGTCTGCCAAAAGGTGTCCAAACTAATCTGTTTGAAACTGGTTTGTTTGAAATACATCTAGATGTATAGACCTGTCTTTTGTATGACTTCTGGTTGTCATTTTGACTTACAGTTCACTCTAATACATAGATCTCCCTTGATCTTTTGTTATACCCAAACGTGTATTTAAAAAAGGTACTGGTATACATATGTATATAGCAAATTTTGATAGTTTAAAGGACCACTATACTAGAAAACAATGCCTAATCGGTGACCATTGGTCCCCCACGATCCTCTTTTTCTTACATGTATGTTGATTGAAAGCTGAGTTGATGAGATAGCCACCTGTCAGTGACCTTCCTGGGTGGTCTAATCCCTCCTAGCCAAACTAGTACAGATGGGCTTTAAAAAATAAAGTGTTAAACCTGAAAATTAGAAAGAGTCACTTGCATTCTTTTCTGTGCAAAGATATCTTCTTTATATTGTTGTCACTTGTCATAGATTGTTAATGAGCTAAAAATTGTTCAAAATTCCATTGACAAGGAAAAAATATTTTAATGATCTTATTCTAGAGTTTGAAATTGCATTTTCATTCTTGCCTCTCAAGTACACAAAATCTAATTGAAATTTGAAAACTTCATTTTTTTTCCTGACAGAATAACTGATGTATTGTGGCTAGTTTTGACAAACATCTTTTGCAAGCTCTTACGCCCTTTTGAAAAACTTGTTCAGTCATCTGTTATAACAAAGGTATGAATACAACAAGCTAGACTTTGCTATGTAATAAGTTCAAAGCCACAGCGATTGTAACCTCTTTAGAGTCTTAGTGGAAGGTGCTACATGTAATTGGGTATACTTTTCTCTCTTTTTGATATGCACTGTACAACATGCTGTAAAAAACAATCATTCATAATGTGTACAGATATGCTCGCCGTCAATTTTGTTTCTTTGATTAATTTATCTGAAATTATTGAGCTTGAATATAGTCACATATATTAGAAAAGAACAATAAACATCTAATGAAAAAGGTCTTAGAGTTCTCTAGAATTGAAATCTTGAAAAGGTATAGAATGAAATGAAAACATCAGGGTGTACAGTGACCGAGGAGTTATACTTGTAGGCTGAATTACTTTATAATAACTCCTTGATGTGCATGACAGGGTTTCTTCTCTTACATTTGTAAAGCTTTTCTTTGGTGTAATTGCCTTCCTCAGGCATTTTATAATAGGCAAGATCAAACCATTGAGACTTTCTGTATCATTTTGCTTGAGGTGGAAAGGACCATGATTTCATTGAATGCCACTGGCGCATTTCAGGTCAGAGAGAGAGAGAAAGAGAGAGAGAGAGAGAGATGGGGGGGGGGATGAGTGGGAGAGATTACAGCTTAGAGTATGAGCAGGGAAATGAAGTAGAATTTGTGAGAAAAAGCACTGATGATACAGTTGTATGTGGTGTGTGTATGTGTATGGGTGAGAGAGGTTGGGAGAGAGAGGTTGAGAGAGACAGAGAGATAGATAGAGAGACAGAGAGAGAGACAGAGAGAGAAAGATAGAGAGAGGTTGGGAGAGGCTTAGATGAGGAGCGGGTTGGGGGAAAAGAGATGAAGCGAGCAAATTATGGGTGTGAGTCACAGTTGATATTATGCATACATTGCTCTCTCTATCTCTCCACATCGTTGGTTTCCACCCTCATCCTGTGATCTGAACACAATCACACGCTAGGCTGGATTAATTCAGAAGCAATTAAGGCCAATTTGTCCAACTCCTTAGCTGTATTATCCCATTTTGGAGCTCCCTGTTGTCATTTTGCCGGACATATGGTGGACATTCAGAAAGGTTATAGTAGGATTGGACGCTTGTCTAGTGGGCGTGCTTCAAAGATGCTTCGAGAAATCAAGGCACCAAAATTGGTGATGGTGAGTATGTCAGGTTATCATACTGTTAGGGTGCAGCCGATCATGTTGAGTACAAGGCGTATGTACAAGGCGTATGTACAGTGTACATGTTCGGATAGAAGTTGATTTGTGAACATTAATTCTGAATGCAATGCACACTCCATTATTTATGTTCATACGATGTGCAGTACTGCTACAGTTTCTGATGATGGTGAGAGTGTAGCAACAGGTGGCTCATGTAAAGTCTTTTCTTGCTTTCCAGTTTCCAGCAAGCTGCATGAATATTTCCTTCTTGTCACTTACTTATTCCACTGATCAGAATGTAATCACAAATACATGACCAAAATGCAGATGTGTATGTATTATGAAATCAAAGCAGAATCTGATTTATGAAATCAGATAATTTTGTGTATGTTGGTGACTTGAGACATTTTGAAATGCTGTATTTTCACATTCACAAACCTTTTAATAGTGTGTAAGACAGTACAGTGTACATGTAGAATTTGAGGAGTGCCTCTTCTTTTTTCTCCTTCTAAGATGTTTAGCCATAGTGCCTTTGAAATGATCATTGTAGAACACTATACATTCCTCATTATTTATGCTTTGACTTGTATTTTCTCTTAAAGTTCATTCAGATATAACACACCAAACCACACCATTTTTGAATGATGATGTACAGTGTAAGGTGTGATGCGATTCACATTTCTCTATCTTATATTACACAGAGAGAGATCAGTGAATATTTGCAGGTCCTTTGTCATGTGCAGTTGGACTGTTGGGTCTATTTTGCAGCTATATACCACGACATATCTGAAAAAAATATTTATTCTCCTTCTCCATCATCCATATCTGTGATTATGTGTAAATGTCATATCTCTCGTGTATTTCTCTCTTATATTTTCTCTCTTATATTTTCTCTCTTTTTCATTCTTAACTTTTTGATTGTCTTTTGATGTTGCTTGTTTTATACCATCTTCATTTTGCTTTCTCTTGCTCTCTCTCCATCACCTCCCTATCTCGCTTAGAGTCCCATCTCTCTCTCCCCCTCTCTCTCTCTCCCCTCTCTCTCTCGCTCTCTCTCTCCCCCTCTCTCTCTTCCACCCCTCTATATCTGTCTTTCTGTCTGTCTCTCTATCTTCTCTGTTTCTGTCTCTCACCCACTTTGTCACTCCCACTCTCTCCCTCGACCATTCCCAGCATGCACTCTTCTGACTCTATCATTTTCCAATAACCTTTATCATAATGTGCTTCATACTACATGTAGCTTGTTACCAAACCTATAGAGGAAATGTCAAGAAGGGAAACTGCCCTGGATACAATCATGATTATTGCCCAGGGTGGATTAGATTCATTATAAGAGTCCATGATAATCTCCTTGAGATGGGAAATTTTTCTGATTACTATTTTGATTATTGGCTCAGGTGGTACGTGTATGGCTTCATTAGCATGTTCATAAACACACACAGGGGCTTGGGCAAAAATCGCCCCCCAAATGCCAAAAAGAGCCTCCGAAAGTCATAAAAAGAACCACTGGAGTAAGGCATATTTTAATGTGACTGATAGAAAGAAAAACGACAACGATATATATGTACACCTGTAGTAGTCTAGTAGACTATTTTTCATACAATGTGCAATTAATTACTTGCTAGTGAATTTCATTCAGAATTGTTATATTCCAGATGGTGATGATGATGATGATGTTGATGATGATGATGATGATGATGATGATGATGATGATGGTGGTGGTGGTGGTGGTGGTGGTGGTGGTGGTGGTGGTGGTGGTGGTGGTGGTGGTGGTGATGATGATGATGATGATGATGATGATGATGATGATGATGATGATGATGATGATGATGATGATGATGATAGTATTTTACATTGGCATGTGTCATGTATAGCTATCTACTGAAGATATTGACAATGGGAGAAATGAATTTGAATAACTGATGATGATGATGATGATAAATATATTACCTTCATCACTATTTTCATCATTATGATGGTCATTGTGATGCTGTGAATAATTACAATGAGAATAATTGCAATAAACATACAAAATAAATAATGATCATGATTTACACTTTGTACCAAATAAGACTGTGATAGTGAACTGTGAACTCTATTTTATTTTTAATACAAAGTGAGCTAATAATCCTGCCATTTTTTTGTTTGATATTTCAAGGCAAATTCAGCCCTATCTTCAGGATACCTGCTCTAGAGTATCTAACAAATTATATCTATCTATCTATCTCTAATGAATTATGTCTTATCAAACCAAAGTACATGTATCAGATTACACCCATACAGGTATGCACAATCATCGAGAATAATGAATAATGCACCAGATTACCATCATCATTCCTCAGTATCTCTCTAATACCTGGTGCATATATTCGCTTTTGTCTACATGAATCACAAGTATGATTTGTTTGTATCGTCAGGCATAAGTCGGGAGCTTTCTGGCTCTGAATGTTCTCTTATTTAATTACACTTGCAGCACCTGTAGATCTACATTGGTGAACTTCAATGATAAAAATCATTAAAAAAATTGTAATATGTTACTGAGTATTAAAAAGGTAAGGTAATTACATCTTCTTTAGAAGGTTTTTACTTCCTGATAATGACTCACACATGTATTTAATTGCTCTTATAATTGAGAGTACCAGTAGTTGTTAAAATTGAATAGGCAAGGCAGGAAAGGTTATTTGGTTTGTCCATTATTTTAAGTGGTTAGTTTATCAACTGATTGTTTGGTGCACTTGTGTAGTGGATATGAAACTACTCAATAGTTAATAATAGGCTGCAAAGAGATTTGCTCTTTTATGGGATATCAATTTCAATCTTACGTTCTTCTATTAGACCTGTATTTTGAGGCAAAATAGTTCAAAGTAATTTTGAATTGCTAATTGACTTAAAAAATAAAATAATTGATAACTGAATTAATAATCACATCCATGTAGGAACTGCAAAATATATACAACGTAAGGAAAAAAATATAACAAATTTATAGTCTGGAGCATGCATTCAGTGTGAGTTTCATTTCATTCTGTGTGATTGAATTTTGTTACAAATCAAAGAATACTTTTGAAAAGATGCACTAGGAAGGCTAATGATGAGTGTTGCATTGCCCCTTTCCAGGTTTCCCTCCTGAAGATTATATTCATTTCCGTTAATAATCTGTCACTGTGTAATCTGTCACCATGTTTTCTTTTCCATTTCATTCTTTTAGGATGGGAGTCTTTTGGAGGTGGTTGAGATCAATGTGACTGAGCAAGAGAAAAGAACAGGCAACGCTGCCATGGGAATCAAGGATGTCTATACAGTCTACCTGGTGGAAACATGGTAAGTCTAAGGTCTTCAAAGGAACTTTCTCATTGACTACCTTATTGATCACTATTCCTCTCAAGTTGTTTCATTTTCAATATTATTGTCCATCCAAATTTATTTTTGAAATACCGATGTCAACATTTAATGTTTCCAACTCTTTGAGGATCTTCTATAATGATCGATCTTCTTATTTTTGTTAATACTCATTGATCATAATGATGTGAGCAATTACTGTAGGAAACAACTGAAAAGAAATAACTGGATTAGCTATGTAGCTACTCAAATACTGTTTCAATTTTAGCAACAAACACCAAACATTGAGGTCAAGATATGCATTCTCAGGAGATTTATGAAGTTTGCTTAACACAACCTTTAGGTTTCTTTACAATATTTTGATTTGATTTGATATGGCCATTATCTCTTTTAGAAGATACTAATTTACCCTGATGCTAGCGTGAATTACATTAATTCTAATTCTTAAAAAATTCTTTTGTAACAAAGCGCCAGGCATACACTTATTATGCATGCACTTAGTATAATTGAATAAATGCATACACTTATTATGCATGCACTTAGTATAATGGAATAAATGCTATGTTTTTATGAAAATGATCATAACTTTATTGTTTTAGCTTACTGTAGATCCTTGTGGAATTCAAGCAAATAGTAGGAGAAATTACTCCATTATTTACAAATTTCATTGAGAATAGAATCTTGTTGCATTTGTTGTTGTTGAAACACCCAATTTATTCACTTTTTGTGATAATTTCAACTTGAATTATTTATATTTCTATGTGACAATCACAAGTACTGATGCACAAGAGTGGATAAATGTCAGTTCTACTCTTTTCAAGATTTATCTTAGAATTATATAAGTATATGGAGTAAATCTTTTTAATGTTAATTTCTTTTTGAGGGGCCGTATGCAATTTGAAAGGTATGTTCAATTGAACTATTCTTCAAAATATTTACACTGTCAAACTCTGATCCTTCAAAGCAAATTCTAATAATTCATGAATCTACATGAAAAAAATCTATTATCTGTGTTTCTCATTCGTCTTAATGACAAAAGTCATCTTATTTTCTCATACCAAGTTGAATACTATGCAATGCGATAACCACTCATCAGAATGTTATTTTCAGTATTTATTAACAAAATTAAAACTTCCAGAAATATGCTGTAACATGGCTGCTCCACCTATATCAGCAATTTCTTCAATACATGTAAAAAATTAACATAGAAACATTTAGATTTGATTTTGAATTCATCTTAAAAAATTAGAATGTTAAAAATTACATCCTTTGAGACTTGTAGAAACATTATAAATGTTTTTCCTAAGAGTTTTTCTGATATCCATAATCCTGCATACAGTGCCTGGGAAATTATAGATTATTTTTTCTGCATTTTCAGCCATTTATTGACTTGACATTCTTTTGAATAACTGTCTAGACATTTCTTCTCAGCAATGAAAAGAAAGATATCAAGCACTAAAGATCACCCTTTACAATCCTTTCCCCTACTGCCACATGCTGTGCAATCACTTCTATTCTAAAGAATTTGAAAACATCCTTTTACATATTCTAATTACAAGATTTTGTTCTTTGAAATTGAATCTACATCTTTAAACATTCCTGCAACTTCTCTGGCTGTAATATTTATTACTTCTTTTCACCTAAAATTTGGCAAACAACCCTTAGTCACAAGTCTACATGTACCTGTATTCTAGTTACAAATATGAGGGAGTTTTACAGTTGGCTTGATTTTGAATCAAAAATGTATTTAGGAAAAGAAAGTCTATCTTTAAAATCTCAAAATTTCACTCGTTTCATGATGAATTGTTCCCTTCTTGAAATGTGCAAAAATCCTTTTAGATATTTCATTTAACATATTCAAAGATTTTTAAAATTTTGCAAATGAATTCTTAATGTATTTTTCAATACCTTTTAACGCTGTGAATGCCACTTATAACATACCTCTTCTTTCAATCTATAACTGTGCAATCAAGCTACAAATATGAGGAATTTGTTTTGTTGAAATTAATTCAATTTGGAAAAGAAATGTTCAGGTATATCTATTCTTGTTGACTAAAAGGTGAATCATACTACTGAAGGTGTGCGCTTTGCTAAATTTGTGATGAGTGATGATGATCATGACTAATGCTTTGTCATACCTTAGACCTGGCTGCCTAATGTACATACATGTACTCACATTGATAACATACCTCAAGCAGAATATATCATTGGTTGAGAGCCAGAAGGGTGTCAACTCAATTGAACTCATAAACTTTAACACATACTTAACACCCTTCTGGCTCAAAACAGATAAAATTTACGATTACTTGTACGTAGTACATAATTGTATTTTGTTCATTTTGATTGTTTTATATGTTATCTTCAAAGCTCAAAGATATATATAGACATATATTGAACTGATATATTTAGATGCATAATCTGCATGGAGTTAAACAGTATGCTGGTTAGGAAGTGGGGGGGGGGGGATGACTTATGATGAGGATATTGTTTTTCAAGTTTCATCGACCCCTTTGGGGGAAAAAATGATACCATAATGGATTATTTTTAGATTCCCCAGATATTATTTTTTACAAATTCCATGTTTTAAATTCCATGTTCTTGCTTGACAGATTAACTAGGGAAAGTGATACATGTATCTCATTGAACAATCCTGAAATCTGAGTATAGAGACTCCTGTAGTGATACATACATGTACCTGTACTTCAAAGGAATTTTACATCACATTATCAATATTATTATTCTTATTATGTCATTATTTTATTATTATTCTTGTTGTTGTTATTATTATTAGTATTATCATTATCATTATCGTTATCATCATCATCGCCCTCATCATCATCGCCCTCATCATGGCCATCATCACCATCATCATCATCATCGTCTTCATAATCATCATCATCATTTTTATAATAATTATTATTGTTGTTGTATAACTAATATTTGTTGTAGTAGTAGTTTTTGCTGTTAATATCATTCTTATTAATCTTGTTGTTTCTGATCCTCATTACAGTAGAGTAAAGGACAATTCTAACATCGCCAAGCTCACAATGGACTCTTCTTCTCTTTGGAGGAGATACAGTGAGTTTGAGCTCCTGAGGAACTATCTCGTCGTCACATTCCCTCATGTTGTGTTGCCTCCCCTACCAGAGAAGAGGGTAAGCTGTCAATCTTCTTTGAAAACACATACATGTACATGTATGTAGGCCTATGCTCAGCCTGTGGTAGGTTTAGGGATGGGGGGGGGGGGGGGGTGAGGCACGACTGGCCTATATCCTCTTTTCATACCCAATATGGTATAACCTAACCCTTAGGAAAGATATGTTGAAACCAGTAAGGTTCTATTGAGGAGGATGCTTGAGACAAGAAGTGATGGGAGGGAGTATCATCATGGCGATCAAGTCAGTACCCCTACCCCTTCGTAAGAGGGAAAATCCTGACTTAAATAACTGATGACCACAATGATGTTGAAGTTATAGCTTGAATACACAGTACACACATTACAAAAATAGCCTCCTAAATATGTTCTTGTGCACCATATCATTTTGTACATCCAAAGGGCAACTTAGAAAGAAAAAAAGAGTTGATGCTCATTTAAATGCTTGAATACCAGCAAAAATTTAATTTGATTGGCGGTATTTGTTAAGTGTAATAAAGATAAATGATATGAAATGTATGAATTATATTTACCTTGACAAGATTACCCATGAAAGGCTTGAAAGCTAACAATTTGCTTATTTCAAATGAATTACAAATTCATACGGTATTGGAAAGCATACATGTATATGTAGAAACTAGGGACAGAGGGAATGTCATCTCCCTTTGTCTCGATTGATAACTTGAAATGTGACTCTTGAATCTTGATGTGTTTTCTTGCCAAGAAATGATCCATCCATGGCCACCCCACATCCTTGCAAGGTCTTCTTTTATCACTCAGTTCTTGTCTCAATGTGAGGAGCATTGAAACCCACTGTTTCAGACAAGGGTTGGCATCAAAGGGTGTGACAAGACAGTATTGGAGAGAAAGTATGAATTACATTCTGGATAGGACTGTACTTGAAGCATGATTATGCAAGAAGTACACGCTCAAATGTCATGGCATAATGATAAGCCTTTATAGCTGCATACATGTAGCTTGCCTTTAGAGCTGTATGTTAAGGTTAATCCACTGTACATACTGAAGCATCAGCTCTTTAGTTAAGATCTTTTGGAAATGTTGCATACTGATATTAAAGGAACCAATCATCTCTAAAAAATTGCTCTGAATTTATTAGTTCCATGTTGGTTTTGAAAATATAAGTTTCAAATATCACTTCTGTCAAGAGAACTTGCAAGTTTAGATACACTCTAAATGAAGATAAAATCACCTCATGAGTAGGCCGTTTTAAAAGTACCTGTATGCAGTATGCACACATAATAATGCAATCCAATTTCAATTAGGGTTTTGCGCGAGGGGTTTTAAATTATTATTCATTGTCTAAATTGCTTGTAACTGTTCATCCATAGAATGTGAAATTAACTTTTAGGGTTGCATTTATACTCTCTTTCCACCAATTATTTATGCAGGTGATAGGTCTCTTTTAGGCTTGTAGGAGTTGAACTGCATCCCTAAGTTCCAGCATCTACCAAAGATGTACATGTACATTGAATAAATTTGATCAATATTTATCACTTTTGCATTATTGCAGTAATGCAGTCTGCTCTTTTATGACCCCAGGAAGAAGCATGTGAATTAGAATAATTTCACATGTGATGTGTAAACCATACATGTATGGGTGAAATCTTGATCTGGATAGATAGTAGTGAATGTTGTAAATGGGGGATGACCAAAATGAAGAAAAAAAGCTTTGTGGATGTCATCACCCTTATACAGTAGTATGTTGTATACAAACCCAACCTACTGATGCACATCTATAATTTGAGAGGAGAATGATTAATATTAGGCCTAATTAATATCAGAAAGTTTAGGTGGCCTTTCAAATTGGCATAAGCTTATAGTAAAGTTTGCTTCTTCTTACTACTAAGAGAAAAAAATCCCAAGTGAAAGGCATGCTCAATTGCTCATGACCTTCTAGTACAAATACAAACTAGATAATACATGTACATTGTATGAGTCAGAGAACAACTTAGACAAAAATTATGCTAATTGATGGATTTATGCTTCTTTAAATATTTAAAGGGACAATTTACAAACAAAATATTCATCTGGTATGTACATGTCCTGCTTAATTTCTAAGTCATTGTAGTTACTGCGTAATGTGTACCTACTAACCTACTACCAAGTGAAAATATACTGTTTATGTAAATTAGTTTTGTTTTTATACCATATGGCAGAAAATAATGGTATCACAGCACTTTAGTATAAGACTGAGGATACGTACACAAAGAAAAGGTTTTTACTGTTTTTTTATATCTTATAAGTAACTGATTGAATTTCTACAGTTCCATAGATGATATGATGTTGTGCAGTGAAGACAATATAACAAGGAAATTAATTTGCCATGGTAACCCCTCTGATCCTCCACAGATGATGGCAATGTGGCAGCAGCTGGCCACTGTGGATAACTTTGATGCTGACTTCGTGGAGCGTCGTCGTGTTGCTCTAGAGGGGTTTCTGCAGAGAGTGGCTGCCCACCCATTGCTATGTCAGGATGAGCTGTTCCATGGTTTCCTGCAGGATGCAGAGGGCTGGAAGGAGAGGGTCCATTCCACTGGCTTCCAAATCAAGGTACAGTAAGAAGGGGCTTAGTGATGGGTATTCTCTAATTGTGCATCTGATTTCAGTCGGATTAAAGATAATCTTGAGTTCTTGTCACCAGTAAAAAAAAAATTAAAAAAAATTCTAAAAGAATCCAACACAATCATCACCAAGCATCTGTCAAATGATTTTGAATGAAAATGTGTGATTGCTGTGTAATATTAAAGCAAGTTAACAATGCATTGCTGGGCTATCTCCAGACCGTCTACCTCTAACATTGCCCTAAGTGTACATATTCATGTTTGCAATATTCATGGTTTTCAGCAAGTTTTCACAATTTGTGTATATTGGGCTAACCAAAACTATACCATAGCTTATGATAATTACAACACTGATGACAACTATTTGCAATGACTTTTCAAAGTGGAGCTTCACTGTAAGTACTCATACTTGTAATGAATTTATACATCCTGAGATTATTAGTTTTCTGCATTTATTTTCTTTCTTTTGTTTAACAGCAAGATTCACGCCTCAAAAGCCTGAGTGCCTCATTCCGACTCAAGAAGCCAAACAGGTAATAAAACCAATATGCCATCCATCATACGTGACAGTATTGTTCCCTACTAGTACTACATTTGCCCAAAGAGTGAGCCAGTCCAATTAGACATATAGTATTAAATATACTGAACTTCATTCCCAAAATGACCTCAAGAACTTTATGTGGGAAAGGTATTGAATATTAATACTGTGATGCCATGTACTGATCCAAGAAAATGTATTGAATCACAAAGGATCCAATCTCACTTCATCTTCTGAATTTTAGTGAATATAACAAAGGAGTAAAATACTAAGATAGTGAGATGTTCATGGTAAAAGTCCAAAAGGAAGGAAGGAAGAAACAGTGGATTGGTAGTTTAAATGTGATTTCACAGGAAAAGGAAATTCTTCAAACATTTTCTTGTACAGTATCTGTTTTGTCCCTTTAATTTTTTTTTTTTTACACTGTCACAAGAAGTTCAATATGGAGGCCATATCCGATTTTTGTTCTACCTTCTTCTTATGGACGTTTTCTCCATTGCTTGATTTTATGTGCTCAGTCTCTTGAATCACCAAACTCTATGATAATTTGACATTTAATACTTTACTGAGATTAGGAGAGAAAGGATGTAGGACAGACAAAGAAATGAAAGAAATTATAGTTGACCTTTATTACCCCAATGAACGATTGCTCTATGCCAAGTCCATTAATAAATGGAGATGATCTTATCTTTGGCCTTCAAAAGCATTTAAATGTTATTTCCAGCTTCCCTTTTTTGTTGTTCTAACAATTTATATATGACAAAATGCATTCTGGTGTAATAAGCAAAAGAGAGGTATAATTATGCAATTTTGTTGCATATTACCATTTAACCATATTGCCTTGTTCTATTCTCTATTTTGGTTATCACTCTCACATTAGACTATTTTATTGTATATTATATTAATTATTGTTTGTATATAATGATGAGGATCTACATTTACAAATAATAGTTTTGTAATGATGTGTCACTTGCAATGCTTAATTTTCAGACAATTTGAAGAACTCAAGAACTATGCCACTGAACTGCAGAACAATGTCACATCGATACTGAAAATTAGATCTGTAAGTATATAATAATTATATGTACATGAACCTACCCCCTAGAATGTCACCCCTAGAAAACTTACCCTTGGGGAATATTACCCCTCACCCACTAAAAAAGGCTACCCTTCCCCCAAGACAGATACTTATGTACAACAACTACCTCCTCCCTCCCTTTCCTGGCACAAAACCCTTTTAGGCCAGGATATAGTCATGCTTACCGGTATATAATTAACTCTTATAATAAAATCACCAGAAATTATATGACTTAGAATGTGAAATTTTGTAAAAATTGGCATAATGCAGAATTGTATTGTGTTTCTAAAGGATAGTGTTGGCAATTTAAAAATCAGAGTAAGAAGTGGCATTTGTAGGGAAACAAGGATGAATACACCAGTTTACCGTGGTTAGGGGCGCCATTTTAATTGGCGAGTAAACAAGGATTTATGCGTAAATTAAGATTGCGCCCATGCAAATTATGATGACATCACTGCCTGCGCGCTGCGTTGTGCGCGCACATCATCATTTGCATAGGCGCAATCTTAATTTACGCATAAATACCACTGACCTCAGGTCATTGGCTTTGTTTCAAAGGCAATGACCCGAGGTCAGCCTGTCTGCGCATGCGCACCGATGTAACCATAAACTGGTGTGTTCTGATATTTGTGACAATTTGGAGATATCAAGTAAAATTATCATTGGAAGAAATTGAGTTTTAAATGCTTCAAATGAATATGCATATCTATTAATATTCATTGCTATATTTGCAATCCCTTATCCAGAGACTATCAGACAGACTATATGGACTACATAAGATCCATGGTAACTATGGGCGTGTCTTCAGTGAGTGGAGTGGTATCGAACAAGAGATGGGAGATGGCCTACAGAGTGCTGGACATCATATGGATGTGTAAGTAGTAACATAATAGAATGGTCCTACTCAGGAATACTCTCTAAATAAATGTATGGACCCTAGTACTGTCACATATAGATCTCCAAGGACTGGTGAGTATCCAATCAACAGCAAAATCTTCTAGTAACTTGCTTTTGATTGGCTGATAGGGAGAAGAAAAAAAAATCACTGGATTACAACATAGGATCTCATCTGTTTGGAGCTATAAGGGCATTAACCCTATTTTAACTGGGCTATTTCAGACCAGGTTTTTACTGGGGGGGGGGGGGGGTCAATTTGACCCCCCCTTAAGATCTCGGCCGTTTGACGACCGATCGCCGCGAAAATTTACATACATGTCAAGTGAAGTGTATAGAATACTATGGTAATTTCAATTTTTTGAAAAATTCACTCATTTACATATTTATGGTAATTTATGCAAATAAGGTCATAAAATTCACATTTTTGCCCATAAATCATACATTATTGCTATTTGAGCATTCTTTTTCACTACATATATTTGTTAGACCATTTGGAATAATAATACAACATAAAAAATTAGAAAAGCCAGGTTATTCCTTGTGTTATCTCTTGTTTTGATAATTTCTTATGTATTTCATTGTTTTTTCAACTAATGTATTTTATTGTTTTTGTTGTTTTATTTCATTTATTACTACAATTCAACTATTTTGACCCCAAAACAAACAACCAAACTTTAAACAAGACTAAATAACCAATGTTTTATCTCTTTTTAGGAAAAATGACATTTCCATATGTTTTGTACACAAATCACAAAAATTAGCGATTTTCGGGCTGACATGCAACAACAAAATGTCACGTGACTCCGTAACTATACGTCCGATTTTCGAAAAAATTGTTTTAAAAGATGCGTAAGACTTGAAAGAAAAAAGTCATGAAAGGAAAATTTTATATCTGCCGCGGTTTCGGAGTAGTCGCGAAATTTCTACAGGGGGGGGTCAAATTGACCCCCCCCAGTTAACGTAGGGTTAACCCTTACTGTACTGGGCTATTTTGAGCACCTCGTGACTGGGGGGGGGGGGGGCCTGGGAGGCCCCCCCCCCTATGATCTCGGCCGTCGAAAGTCCGATGAACGCGAAAATTTGCATGTTTGTAGATATTTACGTAAGGAACAAGATGGTATAATTATCTTTTTCCTAATATGCAATTTTTGTCGTTATAGCCTAATTAATTATGCAAAATGCTAATTTTATGCATTTTACAGAAAAATCTTCATATTTGTCTGTAGACTTGCGAAGAATGTTGAAAATGTATTGAATAAATGTTTCCTTCATCTCAAATTTATGAGGTTACATTATTTTTATGATATTTGAAAATGCATAGGTTAATTTGCATAAATTATGATTACGCATTCATGAATATCAAATCTAGAAATATACAGGGAACTAGAATCATTACATTACTCTGTAATTGAGTTAACTCCCTTTTGGCTCCAAACAGACGAAGTAACATAGTTTATTTTAATCTTGATACGTTGTGTGATATTGGCTGATGAAAAAAGACTCTCTTTATTATTCTACTGGTACATTGTTACAGTCAGTAGGTCAGTAAGGGAGCTTTCGATGATGCATCCAGTACTCAAAATGCCTGGTTGTGAAAAATTATGATTTCATTGCATAGAGGTACTTGTAGAATCATATCATTAAGACATGGAGCTGGTAAAGTACCTTTAATGACCTTGGTTAGCCTAACTAATATCAAAATTGTCCATTCAGATATTTCAAAGGACAACTTTAATTTACCCATATCACCAACAATTATGCCTTTTGCGTCGAGACACATTTTTCTGTACATGCTACTACACTATTCATTTTGATAAGCAACTCAATTGGATGTAGGAGTGGCCAGTCTTGGAAGGCCTAGTTTGTGTGCACCTGTCATGAGTAATTCATTTGTTATTCTGCCAAAGAAATTCAGCTCAATGATCTTCACCCCTCCCCCGAAGGTCTGATTGATAAGGTGATAGGTAGCTATGAGTTGTGCTCTTAGCAAATAATCATCTTTTTAATAACTGTTATTTTGTTTGTAATTATGTTTCAGGTACAAAGATTATATCGATGACTATATGGCTGAAGAGGAGCAGATAGCCGACCAACTCAAAGAATACATCTATTTTGCTGACTCACTAAAGTAAGCACCTGTTTCAGCTAAGATATTTAACATTTAAGGTGACACAAAACTATTCCCAGTTTTCAATCAATGGATAAATAGCAGATGAAAAGTGATGCATTTATGCACCAAAAACAAGAAAACGCAGAGTTTAACATTTAAAAAAAGGTTAATATTATATATGATTATCTTTCATGCTGTATTTTGTATACCAAATATTCATGTGCTAAATGAGATATAAAATTCAAGGTTTTACAAAAGGAGACAATATTTGACTTACCAGTAGTTGTACACTGTGCAATTTCTTTTGGCATGGTGTATTAATGTATCATTTTATTTCTCAAAATTAACTGGCATTTGTTTGAGGTTGAACCCCTGAAAATCCATTATCATTGATACATTATCATTTATTTCACATGAAGAAAAACTTTGCTGCTTCGTATTATTTTCAAAGGACCTACTGCTTACAATGGTCTTCATCATTCACTTTCAAAACCTCACAATTTTGACCCTCATCAATTATTTGTGATAACCCAATTCAATGTTTATCATCAATTTGTTTACTCTTTTGTCTTGTTTGTTCTGTTTTCAGGGCAGTGTGTAGGAAACAAGAGATTATGCAGTTTGAGCTGGAGAGATGTGAGGATTTGTTGAGCTCCAAGAAGCTACAGAAAGACCAACTAACTGTAAGAATTAGAAGCACAAAGCTTGCTGTGATATGTACAGTACTTGAGAGAGAGAGAGATAGAGAGAGAGATAGAGAGAGAGTGGGGAAGGGGAAGGGAAGTGGAGGGGAGAGGGAGCAAAACCTAGAGTATGGTAGACAAACATTTTAGAGGAACATATGGAGAGAGAGAGATTTAACAAATTACTGAAAAAGATGAGAAGATGAACAAAGCACTACAGATGACAAACAAAAACAACGACAAAACAACGAATACAGAGATATAGAGGGGCATATCAAAGCAGGAAAGACCAGACAGACAGACAGACACATGTACAAAAGAAGTGGAGACTAGGAGAGAAAACAGACTCACAATGAGTTATTATGTTTGGAGAAAGAGAAAAAAAAGAAGTTATGTTTGTATTTTCACATTGTTAAGGCCAGCATTTATGAAGGGAACTTCATCCCCCAACACCAAACTGTATCAATAAATCGTATGGTTTGTGTGCAAGCTCTTCAAAATTCTACATCCCTAATAAACTACTGAACAAAAAACAACAAAAAGAAGACCTTAGACGGATGTCAAAAGTGATATGAAGGAGCAAATTGAATCTTCCTCTCTCATCCACAAGTAGAACTCCTAGATGGATGTCCACATGAGCATAGTTAGATACATCCATGTTGATTGCCAAGTAAGTGTCATCTTTGATGTCCCGGCCGCCCCCAAGGGAAATTTAGAATAAATGCTTGCTGAGAGGAAGGAAGGCATGGGCAAGATCAAAAAGGGTCAATTCAAAGTCTTTGTTTGCCATCTGCGCAGCTAAACTCTACCCTTGGGCATTCAACAATAGACCCCTCCCAAATTAAGGAAAACGTCCATCATTTTTTAAATAATTGAAAACAGAAGAAGCTTGTTTCTGAAAAATTAGTTTTGCATTGAATTATTCAACACTATTCATAGATAACCGGACAATACTACTGAGTGCCAACAGAAAATAAACACTATCGTAATAGTGGTGATGCCTGATATCATTGGTATACATTTTGATTGTACACCTGCTAAAATATGGTTAATTAGCCCCCCCCCCCCCCCCCCTTTAAATATCCCAAGCTAATAGCCGTTTGGGTGTTGCTTTTTTCCAAAAGATATTAACATTTTCTTCTTTCTTGTGATGCCTGCAATTACTTTATATGCCTTGTTCATGCATGATAAAGTAAACCACCTAAAGAAAATGCTGGGATGAAATGAAATGATGTGAGCATTGTGCAGTTCACATTTTCTGTCATGTAGCACATAGATAAATACATACATACACTAAATGGTCTTTGTTGCACTTGTTATTGATTAACAGACTATTTTAGAGTTTGCAATGCAGATTTTGTTTACAGCATCCGTCTGCCATGTTTCAAGGAAGCGAAAAGAAAAGAAATTCATCACTGTCAGTAGAGGATAAGTAGAGGATGTGCAGATTGAAACAATCCTTGAAAGACTCTTCACTGCTGGGCTTGTTGACATGAAATGGTGGTTAAAACTGTGCATGCTCTCCTTGTAGAATAATCTAATTTCCTAGACTCAGTTTGGCAAGACTCTTTACAGATGGTAAACATTGCTAAAAGTAGAGGGGAAAATGGTGATGCATTGTCATTGGCCAGATATATGAAACACAGGGGTAGTAATGATATCCTGAGCCCATAGATCTTAAAGCCTGTAGTGGAATTAATTTTCAATGTTAAACTTGTGTGACTTTATTCTTACATACATAGCTTATTAACCACTATTTTATATAAGCTGTGATGTCTTTTTTGCCTAAAGAAATATGTTACTGTCAGATCTGTCCATTGTGAGTTTGAATTGTTTGAACCATGTTAAGCTTGCCCGCTTGTCAAAGAATTTTCAGTATTGTGCCCCCTCTTCCACACATGGCCAAAAAGTCATGAATCTGCCACTGATTAAAAGGGCTTATTACATTAGAAAAGTTAATTCTTTCTTCAATTTTGTGCTAAACAGGGGAAAGCACCTCAGAAGGTGTTTTCATTCCGAGGGATGACCTCAAAGCTGTTTGGTCAAGAGAATGCCGAGACCAAAGAGTCTAAGGCCAATCTCATCTCTGACCAGATCACAGATGCTGAAGATGCTGTAGAGAGATCCAAGCAAAATATACTGTAAGTACTTGAGTTTATTGGCCCATGTTCTTGAGAGTGAGCAAAGTTATGGATGTTAAGCACATTGAAATGTGTTATATAATGTGCTATATAAATGTACCATATTATTATTATTATTCTTATTATTATTATATATGGGGACAAAATGATTGGGGAATAAAGAAGGAACAATTTATGCATTCAGATTCTCCGGCAAGAAAGGCATTCATGGTATGGAAAGGGTTAATTTTCTAGTTTCTAGTTTCAGTTTTACTACTGTTCCGATTTTCAGATTTGCCTATAAATGGGTACACTTCTATGTTAGCCCATTGACTATGGGAACTGGTTGCTCCCTGTATTAAGTCTATGGGAATAAAATCATTCAGAAGTCAACAGGTGAGAGGAGTATTGTAACCTTCATTTCTCTCTCTCTCTCTCTCTCCCATTTCATCATCAGAGACTTCACTGATAATGCATTGAAAGAGGTGGATAGATTCAAGAGACAGAAGAGTCGAGATTTGAAGGAGATCTTCATCAGCTATGCTGTACTACAGATCAAGATGGCTAAGAGGGTAAGATCAGTCAAGTTTACACAAGTTTGATGATGAAATTTAGTTCTGGTTGTACAAGCTGTGTCCGTATTTTGTTCCATATCGGTGAAAACAGTGATGCTGAACTAGTTGGGTCATGAAGACCAGATTTTATGTTGAATTGAGCAAATGAATGCTTGTATGTTAGTTGAATCTTGTAGTGGTCATTCAGAATATTTGCTGAGGCCAGTCACAGAATCATATTACTGTAATGTACCCCTCTTTACTCTTTTTAGAAATAATCTGACCCTTCTAATATGTTAATGTTGATATTGATCATACCATCATCATCATCATCATCAACTTCAGGTGGCGCTGTAAAGCGCTGCTGTGGTCTTCACGAGAGCACGCCATCCAACTCTTTCACCTGCCATTTGTGTTGCACCTTTCATTCCTTGTCCAGACACTTTCTTGATATCATCAGTCCATCTCTCTAATTTGTTATAATTAATCTGTATTTCCCCTTATCATCCAGGGCATCACAGTATGGACAAACACCAAAGAATGCTTCGACAAGATGTAACTACTCACATTTCACCAACCACCCTATATCCTGAAGGCATTATTGATCCTTAAAGATGTGACTACTAGCCCTTTTACAACCCCCTCAACTTTGGTAGTGTTATCAAGTTTGATGTCAAAAAAAGCCATTCTACAACCACCTGAAACAAGTATTGTCAAAATGGATTCTTCAGTTAGATGTGACTACAATCACTTCTAGCAACAAACCTCTGTTTGCATCATCAGAATTGATCCTCCTTTAAAGATGTAATTACAGTCAAACCTGTCTTAGTGGCCACCTGTATATAAAAGGCCACCTGTCTATAGTGGTCATTTTGTGTGGCCTTAATAGACAGGTTTGACTTGACTAGTCCCTTTACAACCAATTTTATTATATGTTCAAGTAATCATCAAATAAACAACAACTATTAGCCCTGCTACAACCAAGTGAGATGCTTGCATTGAAAAATGTGTGTATTATCCTTCTTTAACAATTATCAATCTGTCAGAGCTGTCAAAGCGCAAGGTGAATGCATCAACAAGACTTTACATCTTCCCCATTTACAAACACTTTTAGAATGATATCGTGAATCTTGAAAAGATATATTGAAGGATACATAAGGAGCACATAAATTTGGGGACTATCACGATGTTTCCCCATTCAAAACAACTTCCATTCTGGATATTTAGGAGTGTTAAGCAGAAGACAATCATCATTAAACACAGGAGATATTCGGGCATTTGCTAAGTCCAGAGCATTGCTTCAACTTTGATCTGGTATTCTGTGCTTTTGTACAAAGCCTCTATTAAAGGTCTGTATTAGCTCACATTGAAACCCACGGCCACCCTAGAGTTTAATACAGGTCTACGGTTGAGATGAACAAGGGAAGTTAGAATGTGGTCCTTTAGTGAACATGACTGCAGTCCTTGTGTAGGGTTTATTGGATTCAGGAGTTCATACTGGAATTGAATTGGGATGATAAAAGCCCATGTATTTAAAGCTGTATCATATCAAGGAAACTGTGTTGTTGTTTAGTGATGAATAGTTGGTTCTACATACCGATGTAGAGTCAATACATTACATGAAAGTACACATTTCGTGACATATGGAAAGTACAAATTAAGCTGTATGAATAACAAGAGATGGGTCTTACTAAAAGTGAGAGGAAAAGTGACTGAATGACAGATTTGAAGAAAGAAAAGAAAGAAAGAACATAATTGCAAAGATATTGATGTAAGATTATTATGCTATGTACCGTACTTGTTTATTGAACCAATTGATGCCCCTGTTTGAAGTGGACAAAATTTACAAAAAAAATGTGTTTTGCAATGTTTGATGTTCCATAATGGCCAAATGTAAAATCTATTGGTGGATATATATGCTATCAGTTTCAACAAATATGAAAAAAGAGAGTATTTCAGACATGATACATAGATGAATGATGCAATTGCATAGTTAAATCAAAAATAAATATAGGATTGTATAAAGAAAGAAACTTACAGAATGCATACCATCATTTGCAAATGACTTGTGCAAGTGGCGATCATGAAACACATCCTTTGATATTGATGTTTGTGATGTTGGTGGCAATAAATCTTTGGAATTGAACATTATTTCATACCTATCTGTTACCAATGAAAATGTATGCAAAGCAACTCAATGCAAAGTGATCAAATGTTTTTATAAAAGTCATATGTTAGTGTATTGACTTGTAATCTTCTGTGTGAAAAAGTGTATTGTGCCATATTCAAAACTTATAAAAGCTCTCAAGGCATTTGTGTCAAATTGATATGAATTGCAACTTTCATTTTCTGGGCCAGTGATTTGTAAGCTCTTTTCAAACTTTTCTCCCTTTTTTCAAAACCTTCCTTTTTGGAAGGAAAATACTCCTGCAATGTGGTAAGAAACACGTAATCTGTTATTTATCAAGAATTAAGATATGGTAATTTAAAATCCAGATTGATCTGTTTCAGGTTAATTACTTGTGCATTCCATATTATCTTTTAGCATGTAATTACCAAGGGGCCTTACAGTTTGGGTGATGCTGTACTTTTGTATTCAGTTGTTTATAAAAGAGATTGTCATCACTAGGATGGCTAGTCAAATTTTAAGTTTGACCAAAATTATTGTAATTTATTTAATTTAAACCAGTGTGGTAATGGTATGAGGTTGAGCAGCCACATGTTCAAGAAAATGAAATATTTATTAAAATGAAATAGTTTAGATGATAATACTGATTATGATTCTGTTGAGAAAGTGTGTAATATTTGTAACCCTTTCTCAGGATACAAGCATAAAGAAATATGTTGTTAAAAAATAATAATAAACATCCATGTGAAGAATAGAGTAATGCAAATTCGCCATGTGTTCTGTGACATGGGAAAGGTCATCAGATTTGACCTTTGGCCAATCAAAGGAATTCAGTGGAAAGGCCTTTTGTTACATATGCTGGGCAAAAATATTGGGTGATTTTGGCCAGTTTAAGGTCCCTATACTTGGCTGGCCATGCACACACTTATCACATGTTCTTGTCACTAGCTAGCTTATAAATTCTATGTACAATGTTCCACATTAATTTGTTGTACATGATTGTCCTAGTAGATATTGTTTGTTACAAACAAAAAACATCACAAACTCTTTCTTCAATACTCAAAAAAATTGTCAGCTTTGGGTCACCCAACAATTAGAAATTCCAACTTTGGCCATTAGTTTTGTGAGTGCTGCGGGTCAGGCAATTTTTTTGTGGCACCCTAAACAGACTTGACTTTTTACCAGGTACTAATTTTATGATTCACTATTGTATATATTTTGATATGATCATTATATAATTATTACATTAGAGAGATTGGTAGATTAGTTTCCACCTTGATCTCTTATGCCCAGCACACTCACTACACAATCCTCCTGCGACCCAAATTTCAAAGAAATGGCAATATTAGATATGGATATCTAAGCAGACATCTTCCCGATTTAGGTTCTGAATGATGATAAAAGTACTAACCACCAGAATTTTAAGCATTTAAGCCTCGATCCTAGTCAGAATTAAAGCTAAAGATCGAGGCTTCAAATTGTAGACAATCACACTATACTGATCTGATTTCACTACGATTCTGAGCCAGTTTGGTTTTTCTTACCCAAAAGAAGCTTGAAATCCCTTAGATTTTAGATTTTATGAAGCATATGATGATTCAGATCCACGATCATTAAGATTTTTAAAGTTTAAATATTTATATGAAATGCTATTGCATATTCTTTCAAAATCGGATCGTAGTCAGGTCATAGAGTATGCAGTGGGCTTTTCTTTACTGTTTTTCTTACTTGCAAGTTGCAACATGTCGTAACGAGAAAATCTCATGCACCATTTCTGTTTACCGGTAAGCACAAAGTGGATTATATTTTTGCAAGAGTTTATGCAGAAAAAGTTATATTGGATATGTTTTGAAAGTTGGTGTTGATTGCCTTTAAATATCTCAGTTCTAGTTTCTTATTAATATACTTTGTTTCCTATTACATGTTTTATGTTTCATTTTGTTAGATTAGTTCATTCACTATTCAACATGGAAAGAGAGATAGAATCGAGATAGGAATATAGAATAGAGATAGGGATATAGATAGATAGGGAATAGAGAGAGAGAGGGAGGGAGAGAGAGAGAGAGAGAGAGAGAGAGAGAGAGAGAGAGAGAGAGAGAGAGAGAGGAGGAGGAGGAGGGAATAGTAAAAAGACTCACTTCTCAGTTATCATTAAACTACAATTTTTGGGGCATTCCTTAATATTGTTAAAGGCTTATTTTCCCCTTCTCCTTTCATTTTTTCTGTACATGTTTGAAATCATAAAGTGCCTGTGTAATTAAGTGCATATTTTATGTGTAAATTTTCTGTATTGATTACAATGGATATGTCACACTTCACAATATCATTTATATGCTATTATTTTTTTTCAATTTTTACCACATATCCCGTTTGCAAGCTTTGTTGACACTGTTTTGTTAACATTATGTGGTGACATATTTTGATAGTATATTTAGGTTATTTTTAGATGGAACATTGTTTATTCAAGTTGCATTCTCATGTCAAATGAGTCTCAGATTGTTTATGAAACACAATCAATATTTACTGTTTAATTGATTTTAGTGTGCCTCAAATTTATGTTTTGTATTAATGTGATATTTTGGGGAAATTGTGCTAGTGCTGTTACGACAAATTGAATTGGTTGCAAAATATTTCACGTTGGGTCAACTTCTTTTCGTTGAACCTGATAGAATTCCATACTGAAACAGATATTTTTATATGATTGGCTAATTTTTTTGGGATGAACTTCTTCTTCTTCTTCTTCTTCCAGTAAAGTACAGACCGCCGTTGGCGTATTATCGTACTTGTGCTTGTCGAGTGCCCAGATGAATAGTGCAAGTAAAAAAAATCTCACTACAAGTTGATACTATGTACGGCTAAAAAACAGGAGAGGCTTAACAAAGTCTCATTTGTTGCACCCCCTGCGTGAAGATCCCTAAGGAGGTGCTGTTGACTATACTCGGGGGGGGGGGGGGGGGGGGGGAGGGAGTTCCTTTAATGGTATTAGTTAATACCTAACGTTAGTTTTTTTCTATTTACCTTTTCTAATCTTGATATTTTGAAGGGCATTCAGATTCTTGAACACAAATATTCCTCCCCTCATAAAGTGGTAACATTAATGTGCAACCATTTAGCAAAGTCTTCAATTAAATCAAACTGAAAGTCAAAAATCAAATCAAATATTGCTAAAAGCAAGTAGCAAATAATGTAAGCTAATACTGTGTACAAAATTCTTTTAAATCAGTAGGCTATATGTGCCACAATTACTGACTATTATTGTCTTTAATTGGTAGCATATTATCATGGCATTTCAATTAATTTGAACATCACAATGCCATGCAAAATCTGTCATAATGTTTGAGTGAAATCTTTTGCTCAATCAATGCTCTATTCCTAACACAAATTTAAGAGAACTTTTGTTTTATTTAAAAGATGTTTTTATGCTTTGATGATTGGGTAAAGTATCAAGGCCATTTGTAGCTCTTAAACAAACAAAAAACAAAGAAACTATGTGTACATTTAGAGATATAGTGATTTCATTTATACAGCCTATTATTCCGGAGATTTGTTTCTTTTGCTTGGAGTAACCTGTATGTCTATGTGCGTAAATTTAAATAAAATGCCACACCTGGTGCAATACCTTGAGACGATGTCTGAAAAAGTGTCTGATTTCATTTTCTTTTGTTGAATATAATTTTTGTCAAGTTTATTTTACGTTTTTAAGGGTGGTATGCAGCAATGGTCATAAAAATTACTTGTAAACTTGAATATCATCCCTTACATTTACTCTTAATTGCTAAACTGAACAACATCAGTCATCAACAAACAAAATGAAATTAGAAAATAACAATTTCAAACAAACAGAAAATCCCATCCAAATATAAATAGGTAGCCTACAGTTTGAAATAGAAACAGATAAACATTTAAATTTGAACTATATATATATATATATATATATATATATATATATATACATGATATGTCACCCAGCCATTTGAACTGGTAGAATCCCAGGGAAATAAGACAGAGAGAGAGAGAGAGAGAGAGAGAGAAAGAGAGAGAATCACTGTAATGAAGGAAAGTGGAGGGATGCAGCCCCCTTCCGGCCTAGCTACCCCCCCCCCCCTCCACCGCTATATACTTCCGTACTTGCGCGCCCTTCTATATTCGTTTGTAAAGGAACATATTTGAATATTGGAATATATATATCAGCAGTTTTGTGACACCAGTCTATAATATAGTCATCAAAGAAGCACACGTCACTATAATGGTGTCGGGGATGCATCCGGATGGGTATAGGTGTCACATATATTATGTGAATGAAAATTTAGGGTGAGGGGGGGGGGGGGGGGGGTGTGCACTTATTTTGCCTCCCTCTCACTTGGAATGTTTCCCCCTCTCTTTCCCCAGTTCCACAGCCGCCCCGCTTTATCTCTTCGTCTATAATTATCTCTTCTTCTTCTCTTTCCGCCTCCTTTAATTTCTGTTGAAAATTAACACCATAGGCCTCATATTTTGTGTCAGTCGAGCTCGAGTCGGAGATGGCGATATTCAAACATGGCGACTTCCATCACAGATAGTGACAGCTCCAATGCACCGCAATTATCCGAAATTTTTGAAGAAGCTAGAAAAATCCAGGTTGAACTAGAGGACTCAGCAGAACCAACTAATAGTCAAGGATATCAGGTGGGTATATCCATGTTATATTGATACCATTGGCATAAGTTTGGTCGGAAAATGTGTAGGAGATTAGTTTTGCCCTAAATATGATGCAGTCCCATCCGTTACTTTTCTCGTTTGTGTTCTCTGTATAATTCTGGGTTCTGGTATAGACGTGCTGCTGGTTGCTGCAAACTAATTTAACTTGTTGTTTTAGGTACAATAATTGTCATAGTGAAGTTCAAATTAGAGACAATTTTAGGTGTCTAGTTGACGGCCTTTTGTCAGCTCCTGTCACTTGATTGGAAAAACAGAAGAATAAGGTGAATTTGACTCTGAGTCTGAAGAAGAAGAAGAAAGAGAAGGGGGAGAAGAAGGATAAGGAGAAGGACTTAAGCTAAGGTCAAGGAGAAGAAGATAAAAATGAAGAAGAAGGAGAAAAAGAAAAGGAAGAATAAGACACAAAAGACAAAGAAGAGGAAGAAGGAGAAGAAGAAGGAGGAGGAGGAGGAAAAAGTAGAAGTAGATTCTGATTCTGATTCTGTTTATTTGATCCTGGTCCTTGGGGCGGTATTCTGAACATTGTTGTAAGTTTTGTGTTATCTTTTGTTGTATCTTCCAGAGATAACACAGCGCTAATATCGTTGTAAGTTGGTATTCTCAACATTGTTTTATCCCTGTGTTATCTCTTGAAGGACTGCCTCTATCTTATCTTTGACCATTGATGACACACCCATTTTTATGGACCCTACCAATCAAAATCTGTTTTATATAAGCATGATAAGTAGGTCAACCAATAGGAATACTTTATGCCATATCTGAAGATGCGCCTAGCGCATAATAATCTTGGGCGTAATTAGTTATTTGAGCACTTATTACGCGCATCATCATTATGTGCTGTTGAATGTGGATCATGAAGACAAATCACGCTTTCACTATATATATATATATATATATATAATGGTTTATTTATTCAAAAATCACATTGCAGCCCAAAGGCTGAATTGCACGATTTTTTTACAAATCTTTGACATAAAAACAGATTATAATGAACATTGTAAAAAGCATTACACGAAATAATAACTGCATACAAAATTAGTAACGCAATAATATTCAACTAATATTCTTTTACATTTTAAACCGAAATAGCTAGGATTATCAGATGGTATAAAGGCACATAGATTAATAGATGATCAGGTTGAGAGAGGGAGAGAGATAATCAAGAAGGGAGAGAAAAAAGGTGGGAGTCAGAGAGGAAGAACTAGTGTTGGAAGAAAAAATACCATAAGGTAAAAACTAAGAATCAGGAGTAATGAAAGCCAGAAATAAGGCTCTAGGTATGTGTTTTTGAAAGCTTCATTCTCAGATGAGAGAGCAAACCAGGTACAAGGAATACATGATATATTGATATGTGTATATTGTTAAATTAAAATACAATTCATCATTTAAAAAGGTTGTATGCTTAAAATAATACTTAAAAGTGAAATTAGATAAATTATACTTGTACACTATACAGGTCCAAATAGATACAATTAGGCTATTATTTACACTATATTGGTTAAGATGAGAGCATTAAAATCTTCATATCCTAGCATGTAATATCTTGGAAAGTTCTCATCTGTGATGTTTCCGGTCAACACACAATCTTCTTCTAACTCGTCTATTGGCACGAAGTTGGTTCTGGGCAAAAAATATTGCTGCCACTACATCACCACAAAAGATACATTAACCCCCTACCTGTTGTAAATATTGTTGTAAATACCATGCAAGATAAGATAAGATAAAAGATACAACAACTTTCAGAATACCAATTATCTCGACATATTATCTCCCGTGCGCATATGCAAATGAGGATTAAATGCCACTTTTTTAATAATACGCACAATTACAAGCGCACCAAAGTATGAGCGCAGGCGTGGCCAATAAGATGAGAGAAAAGATACAACAAAAGATAACACAAAAGTTACAACAATGTTCAGAATACCAACTTTATCTTATCTTCAAAGATACAACAATATTAAAGATAACACAGGGTTCAGGATACCGCCCCTGATCCTCAAGAGGGATATATAGATGACCAATAAGAACGTTATCGTTCGAGATAGAGTGTTTGTTGCGTCTAGAACATTTTTGAATTGAGTCCCATCACATTGCAGTTGTGGGGAGGGACTATGATTATATTACCCCTTTGGATAGCTTCCCAGAGTCTGGTTTTGAAGGTTTCAACTGAGTCGCAGGCAAAGATGCTGGGGGAAAGTGAATCCCGGGCCCGAATGGTTCTTGGGAAGAAGGTGAGCCGATAAATATCCGTTTTGCATCTTATGTTGGAGAAGGAGAGATTATGATGTCCCTTGAGTATCTTCTGGGGTTGAGTGATGTATCCAGGTCTGGGTATGGCTACTTGGTCTTTGATGGATTTGAAGAAGAGCGAGTGTCGAGCCACGAAATGTTGACTCTGTAGCGGTTGCCATTTTAGATCACTCTTCAGGTCTGATACATGGACGTCTATTCCATATTTGCCAGTGACGAATCGAAGTAGAGTCTAGAACCATGATAGCAGAGTTGGAATGTTCTTTCCTTGAATGTATGGTGAAGCCCACAATCAAATAAGTTTATCAGTGAAGACTTAACTTACAGCCAACATTTGATTGGTACTAGATCTAATCACTTTGTACATCTATTGGTCACCGTTTCATTTTCGTTTGTAGTCTCATATCCTTTCATTTATATTGTAATCAAATCTTGTGTTTAAAGGTACTATGTCCCATTTACAGGCCAAAAAAATGAAAAAGTTAAATTCCAACTGCATTTGAAAGATAATACTAATTTAGAACTTCCCTAAAAAAGGTGGGGCTTGAAAATGTCTTCAAGTGAGAAAATAATGACTATTAGTTGTCAAATCGACTTTAGGGCTATAGAGCCCAAAAGTACTAGTCTTGATTTTCAGACAATTGTACCGAATGGTCATACGTTTTATGCTGCGCAAAGATTCAATCAGTTTAATCTTGGCCATCACAACAAGTGGGTTATTGATGTAGACAAATGCTCATGTACCCTTTACAACTCTTTTCATGTATGTTATTACCAAAGAAGAAAAAAAGCCAGTCAGTCACTCAATAGTGTCTGACAGTGAAGTCTAGCAAGTAAGCAGGTTTCGTTGCATAATTTGAATATGAGGACACTGCTAATGTTTAAATTTCACAGATAGGACATACATGACATATTCATAATTCCTGCAAAGTTCTACAGCATTTGAGGTTGGCTGCAAAAGGGACATAGTACCTTTAAAGCCCAAGTCCACTCCAAAAATAACTTACTTTCAATAGAAGCAGAAAAATCAGACTAACCAATCAAAAAAAGTCTGAGCAAAATCCGATATCTAATAAGAAGTTCATTTATTAAGTCTCTCTCTCTCTCTCTCTCTCTCTCTCTCTCTCTCTCTCTCTCTCAACAGAATAAAGTTAATAAAGGAATTGCTCAACTTGAACAGGCGACCCACATGGTCAACGAACTCAGCCTTTTCAGCCGCAATGAAGAGATTGAAGAATGCCCTACTGCTCACATCAGGTAAATCATCTTTGTCTTGGGACATGCCCAAGCCAAGGTGTTTGGTGTGTTACCAAGAATAAAAATCCTAGTTGTCATTTTCCTTATTATGAGATCAGGTTGTAGCTATAGTATCTTTAGCTTATTGTTTGGTCCAATTCAAGCTGTCATAGGACTGTCAACTTATTAGAATCATTACTTCAATCATACTGTATACTAAAATTACAATAATTTTGATATTATACGTTGCACTTGCTCGTTGGTATGTGGGGATTTGAGTTTATCAGAAAGATATAAAGTGAAACTCAATTTTATAAACAAAATATCTATTAAAAAAGGCTAAATGACTGTAGTGGCCTCTTCCATTTCCTCCACAAAGTGAGAAAGAGAGAGGAATGCATTAGTTAAACATCTGGGTATGGTTTTCCTTTTTCTGTGAGATGGGACAGGGGGGACTTATTTCTAAGGAGCCATCCCATTGAATTCTACTGTTTGTTACCCCCCCCCCCAGGTACCTACTGCTGCCAGCGTTCCTTGGTGACCTTACCCTGAAGCTTCAAGGGGAAGATAGACTTAATATCGTCCAGAAAGGCAAGACCTATTTCAAAGATTACATCAGAAGATGTCGAGACTATGGTGTCACAAAAGAGGTAAAAGTAATCAAGTTAATTAGATTTCATATCATGAAGTGAATTAAATTAAATGTCAGAAATTTGTATAATATTTTTTTAATGAAAAGCTTTGTTTTCTATGTTTGACCCCTGACCCATACACCTTGTAATACACCTAGTAACTCATTCAGTTATACTTCTTGCACTCCAACCCCTCCATACTATAATTTCTATGACAACCCCTACTCGGACTCCCCCTTTCTGGACAACCACTCCTGACACAACATCCCTCTTGGAGAACTACCCCTTGGTCAATCACCATCCTGGACAACTATTCCCTAGAATACCACCCCCTCCCTTGCTAGACGATCACCCCCAGGGCATGTACCTCAAGACAACTAATTAATAACCAACTTCCCATACATTCACAACAATTACTCAATGGACAATTGGAAAATGTAAAGTGATTATCAGTTTCATCCAATTGATTTACTGTAAGCTCAAGTATTTTCAGGCTTGATGATAACCAGTTTAGTCTTGCGTCTTTGCAGGAGATACCAGAAGACCCTCCTGAAGAGTCAGCACAGGCTGGAGCCTTGCCAAGAGCTGGAGGTAGCCCTAACCTTGCAGCCATGCAGTGTAACAGAGACGCCAAGATACGACGGTATAAGGAAGCCAAGGAATTGAAACAGAAGCTGACTGCCTTAGGTGACTGGGATATGATAGCAAGCAGAGAGGAAGATTTACAGGTAAGAAACAATGTAGTGACTACCTGTATAGAAAACCCAACTGAAAGTTTTTTCAAACACGTATTTGAATTACCTGTACATCAAGACCACCGTTTATATTGTATTCCTTGAGTAGTCTTTATATACTGATACAGTTTTCACTGTAAAACCATCATCCTGTCTTTTAAATTGCTGACATTCTTCAGACTTAGTACCGATTTCTGTCACTTGGGTTTGGAGGGGCAAATCTAGTATCAAAGCAAATCGCCATGGCTTGGATTTCCTATTTCTTTTTCTATTTCCTATTATTTGGGACCTGGCCTTAGAGTTGATTCCTTTCAGTACATGGTTCTGGTAGGAGCGGACAAAGCAGAAAGTGTGCCAATGTCTGTTCTTCATCGCAGGCACACACAGTTTGTTATGCACAATAATTTTAAATCGTACATTAAATGTTCTTCCTTTTTAGAGAGAGTTTTTTAACTTGATGCTGAAGAGTTGGGTATCGACAGCCTTGGAGCAGCTGAACAGCGTCCAGCAGGAGCTAGAGATCCTGCAGCATATGGCCAAGATGAAGAAAACTGAGAATCAACGTCCTGGTGAGGAGGGAGCACAGATGAGGAGAAATGAGCCCCCTCCCCAACAACAGAGGAAGGTAATTTCATTAGAAGGAAAAAATGTATAAAGAGTGCAAACAAGGAAAGCTGTCTATATCATTATATAAGTTTTCTTTAATTTAGGTTTTAATGAGAAACATCACTCCCGGGAGGCACTAACAATTTATTAATAGACAGATTTGTGTACCGTTTCCCTGTATTGCTCTTGGGTAAGTGCTTCATTGAATATCACTTGACCAAGCTCTAATTAGTAACTACCCAAATATTGTTTTGAAGACATAAAGCATTCATGATTATTTGTCTAAGATAACCAACCAATGACACAGATCATACTTCTGTAATGATATCAGATAACATGATGTTTTTATCCCAATTTCTTGCTCAGCCTCTGAAGCCTTTCATTCTAACTAAGGATGCTCTCCAAGCTCAGGTGTTTGGTGCTGGCTACCCTAGCTTACCCACCATGACGCTCGATGAGTTCTACCAGAAAGAGCTCAGAGAAGGGAAAATACAACTCAATTCAAAGTAAGTTTTAGGAGCAAGATAGCTACATAATCATTTGTTATTCATAATTTTGTAAAAATGAATTTCTTAATGGACAAGAAATACTTACCAGTTTAATGATGGAATAAGTTTTGCTTAACCTTATACATATAACTACAAGAAGGAAATGAGAGAAGGTAAATGACAACTTGTTTCAAAGTAAGTGAAAAATAGCAGTATAGCTATATAATGCAAAAAGTTGTATTGAACCTCATTCATATACGTGATTGCTTGAAAAGTATGTGAATGACCAAATAACCATGATGTCCAAACATCCAGTGAAATGTTTCTGAATAAAATGGATATTACTAGACAATTATCACTATTTCAGGCTATAATAGAATAGAAAATACAGAGAAAATAAAATTTGAGCCCATCATGGTCAAATAGAAGGAGTAAAACAATTTAAATCAGTAAAGAGACCTAAGTGGAGACAACAATACTTGAATCACTTGCTTCATAGCGTTTTCCTTTATTAATGTAAATAATGCATCCTTACATGTTGAAAGCAAAAAGAGAAGAATTTATTAAAAATGGTATTCAGTAAAGAGAGAGAAGTCGACTGACAAATAGACAAAGTAATCATTTGGAGTTTTCATGTGTCTGTACTTCCAGCGAACTCAAAGATAGTTTCACAGATGATTAGTGGACACTAATGGAACTAGAGGAAAGAAAAAACATTATTCAATCATTTTTTCCTGTTCATTTTTTATAGTGCTCAACCTCAGATGAGTGAGGAAGAAGAAGTGGAAGCGATTGCAATCAGGAAAGAGAATGAAATAGAAACAGATGATCCTGAAGCACTCAGGAAAGAGAATGGGACGAATGGAAAGATGGTGAGTCAGAGATATTGCTCAAATCTACCAATCACTATCAATCAATTTGTGTACATAAGTAACTAAAAATGAAACTAAAGGAATAAGAACATTCTGTGGGCTAACAGATAAGGAGTATGAAGAAAATATAGAATAACATATTACCCCTGCACAGGCCCCAAGTAGGACTTGGGTTTTGTACATGATGTATTCTATGCAAGCAAGTAAGGATGCGTCAAATAGTCTAATCACAGGTCCCTTTTTGTTGATTAAGACTCTATTTAAACTTGCAATATTTCTGTATAGAAGTAATTGTTTAAGGTCATGTCGATTGTAGTAAAGCGACCTGTACTCTCCATCATACAGAACAAAGTATGTTTTGGTTATTGGTACACTATAATCTCTTGAAGACTCAAGTCTAGTGGAGCAATCGTTTCAGGAGCAAATGTCAGAGCACTGATGATTATATGTACGTGACCCAAGATTTGCTGCAGTTATATTTGCTCCAGGCTTGATATTGTTGAAGATGTCTGATTAAAGTTAGGTTTACACTTGGGCTTTAGCTTAGGTTTAGGGTTACCATTAGCATGCATGAGGATTAAAGGATAAAAGCTAGAGGGTTGAAATAAGGTTCTAGGACTGAGTAGCATAGTGACCCCAGAACAATTGTTGCCAAGCAAGACTCATAAAATCGATAATTATCTTGGATGGAGCAATATCTGAAATGTGATATCTATTGAGTAAGTTATCTTTGAGTCCTAATAAACAATCCAAAATGTTGTGTATTTTCATGAATTCTATTTCTAAAATTCTGATGTTTTTTTCACAGACCACAAGAGGGGATGGGGAAACCGGGAGAATCGGAGCTGAGTGGAGCTGAACGGAGCCCGAGTTATTGACCATCAAGATTTACGGCAGTTTAGCGATCACTGTTACACTTCTGAGACATTTAAGTACCGGAGTTTGTGCTCTGTTGTGCTGGGTCATTTCCTATGTTGGACGTCAATGGAAATAAAGCCATGGAAAGCAGATGGCTTATTGTGACAGCATGGAAGTATTTAAAAGGAAGCATTACTGATCTGGGTAGCTGCAGTAGTGGTACCTGTCTGGCTATGGTGACCTCAGCACTGAACAAGATGGAAACTGTGGATGGATTATTTCCAACATTGCAAATAGTTTGTAGTTGATTCTGCAACAGAATCAATATGGAACGAAAGAACACCATTAAAGTGTAAGGAGATGATTCCTGACAGTAAATAGTTTACCTCTTTGAGAAGATTTCATCTTCAAGAACTTCCAATAATACAATCATGATCACCAATACATTTACCAGTGATGGGAGTAAAACGGATGTATAGTACTCGTAAATCTTGCAAATTTATTCCATTCTCAAAATTGATGTAGCACTAAGGACTGACTTTGTCTATAAAAACCTATGGTCAGATTGAGTTCGTACATTTTCAACATTCTTTGTCCAGATATACCATATGGAACGGTTCAAATGTCCAATACAAGTATGAACTATATGTATTAACAAGTCAATGTGCTGAAAATGAATATCAAAGTACACTAAAATAGTTAATTGGTACTGGTATGTGCATGTTAATATTTTAGGGGGTATTCTTTGATGTTTTTTTGGAATCAATGCTTTATTACTTGCCAGCAAACTTGACATTCTCAGGCAGAAAAGATATCATGATAACTGTAATCACATGCAATTATATCCAGGGAATAATTTTCCTGGTATCGCATCGCAATTTGCTATGCATTTTTGCATGACTGCTATACAAAATATCTTTTGTGTAGCAGTTTTCTTCCATAGAAATGTACAGAATTTCATTTGAAATATTTATCCATCGGCTGAAATTGCTAATCAAAAAATTTGAGGAAAATTATTCCCTGATATCCATCAGCAAATATTGTAGCCCCCCCCCCCCCCTCCATCAAATTCAAATAAGAGGCAATAATTGATTGATCAGAACATATCAAATGTTGCTTCAATTGTGAATTTATACTTTTATTGAGCTAGTACAGTAACATTAAAAATCTAAGACAAGTTTAAATGTTCATTGAAGGAAAGCATGCATGGCTTGTAAAATGTATAAAACAATATTTAGGATAATACCTTAAAATGAGAATCATTTGTTGTGTGAGCCAAGTTACCCAAGTGTCATTTCTGATCTCTCCCAATCCTACATATGTAATTTTTATGCCTCCGCCACCGAAGGTGGTGCCGGAGGCATCATGTTTTCGGGTTGTCCGTCCGTACGTCCGTCCCGTTTGACCGTTATCACAATTTAAACTTAAGACTCGGGAATAGTATTTATCACCATAGGAAGACGATCTGATTAGATTTTGGAGTGCGTACAGAGGTCAACTTATGAAATTCCTTGTATTGAGTTTGTTAGCGCGATATCTCAAGAACCATTTGAGATTTAAACTTCAAACTTAAGGATAGTATGTATCACCATAGGAAGACGATCTGATTAGATTTTGGAGCACGTATGTCAAAGGTCAAGGGTCACAGAGGTCAACTTATGAAATTCCATACATTGAGATTATCATGATATCTCAAGAACCACTGGAGATTTAAACTTCAAACTTAGTGATAGTGTGTATCACTATAGGAAAACAATCTGATTACATTTTGGAGCACGTAGGTCAAAGGTCAAGGGTCACAGAGGTCAACTTATGAAATTCCATACATTGAGATTGTTATAATATCTCAAGAACCACTGGAGATTTAAACTTCAAACTTAATGATAGTGTGTATCACCATAGGAAGACAATCTGATTAGATTTTGGAGCACGTAGGTCAAAGGTCAAGGGTCACAGAGGTCAACTTATAAAATTCCATACATTGAGATCGTTACCGCGATATCTCAAGAACCACTGGAGAATTTTCACTTCAAACTTAATGATAGTATGTATCACCATATCATAATATCTCAAGAACCACTGGAGATTTAAACTTCAAACTTAATGATAGTGTGTATCACCATAGGAAGACAATCTGATTAGATTTTGGAGCACGTAGGTCAAAGTCAAGGGTCACAGAGGTCAACTTATGAAATTCCATACATTGAGATTGTTATCATGATATCTCAAGTACCACTGGAGATTTAAACTCCAAACTTGTTTAAATTGCTCTATGGCGGAGGCATCATTTTCGACTGCACGCAGTCAAAATTCCATCTAGTTTTTGGTATATAATGTGAATTGCTTGTATTTTGAAAATGCAAATTAATATCCATCCATAAATATTGAAAAACCTAAAACTACTGTGCATATTGTTATTTTTGTTCCTAAAAATACCATCAAGGAAGTCAACATGAAATAAACATCCATCACATTCATGGCTTTCGGATTTCCATTTTTTCTTATTTATTGTCACTCGATACAGAATCCATGATTGGTTATCATTCAAATAAGGATGCAAATCTTTCAGCACAAGAAAAATGCATGTGTCAGAGCTCAAATATGTACATGTAAGAATTATTCTTAGTGCACTTAATATATCTCATAAAATCACATCCTTAAAACCACATTTCATATACAGTTTAGAAAAAAATGGTTTACTTTGCAGCTTTAGCAGCACATTCTATGTAAATAAATACAAGTACAAGATGCAATTATGGAATACATACAAGGACATGAGCAATGAGAATACAGAAACGGGTCAAAACTTATACTCAGTTCAGAATTACAGAGGGGGAAAACAGCACACTGTGATGAAATATGTTTTTTATGCCTCCGTTACGAAGTAGCCGGAGGCATTATGTTTTCGGGTTGTCCGTCCGTCCGTCCGTACGTCCGTACGTCCGTACGTCCGTACGTCCGTCCGTCCGTCCGTACGTCCCGTTCTCGTGATCGCGTTATCTGAAGAACCGATTAATGGATTCCTGCCAAACTTTGGTCATGTATGTTACTTGCAGAGCCGATGAACTGATTAGATTTTGGGGTCAAGAGGTCAAAGGTCAAAGGTCACAGGGCTCATTATGTATGCAAAAACAGCTCGTGATCGCGTTATCTGAAGAACCGATTGATGGATTCCTGCCAAACTTTGGTCTTGTATGTATCTTGCAGAGCCGATGAACTGATTAGATTTTGGGGTCACAAGGTCAAAGGTCACAGGTCACAAGGCTCAGGTATGCAAAAAGAGCTCGTGATCGCATTATCTCAAGAACCGATCGATGGATTCCTGCCAAATTTTGGTCATGTATGTATCTTGCAGAGCCGATGAACTGAATAGATTTTGGGGTCACGAGGTCAAAGGTCAAAGGTCACAGGGCTCATTATGTATGCAAAAATAGCTTGTGATTGCATTCTCATTAGAACCGATCGATGGATTCCTGCCAAATTTCGATCATGTATGTATCTTGCAGAGCCGATGAACTGAATAGATTTTGGGGTCACGAGGTCAAAGGTCAAAGGTCACAGGGCTCATTATGTATGCAAAAATAGCTTGTGATTGCATTCTCATTAGAACAGATAGATGGATTCCTGCCAAATTTCGATCATGTATGTATCTTGCAGAGCCAATGAACTGAGTAGATTCATGGGTCATGAGGTCAAAGGTCATGGGCTCATTATGTATCCAAAAATAACTTGTGAATGCATTCTCATTAGAACTGACAGATGGATTACTATTTAAGTCAGGACATCTTGCAGAGCCAATGAACTGAGTAGATTTTAGGGTCATCAGGTCAAAGATCAAAGGGTCATATATGTATATGAGAAATTGCTTGTAATCACGATATTCTGAGAACCTCTTAATGGATTACAATTGAACTTGAATTTGAAAAATTTCTTCTGTTTTGGTTTGTAAAATTGCTCTATGACGGAGGCATCATTTTCGACTGCGCGCAGTCGAAGTTCCATCTAGTTTTTTAAATAAAGAAATTGAAATAATAAAAAACAAACAATAAACAAATAAAAAATACAAACACATGATATATAGATAGATAGAGAAATTATACATACCCTTATCTACCTATTTTCCCACTCCACAAACATTAAAGAGATAAAACAAAGTCACCTTTTATATTTATTTGACAAGTCCAAGTCATTTTGTCCCACTTTGTAACCAACCACAAAAAGATTTTAGTATACAGTCAAACCCGTCTTTAATAGTGGCCACCTGTCTATAGTGACAATGAATTTTGTCTCTCTTGAGAAATATATATGTTGTAGAACCTGTCAAGAAAGGCAACTGTCTACTGTGATCCCTGTTTCTGTTTCCCTTGGGTGGCCTTAATAAATGGATGTGCCTATATCTGATCATCACATTAAATCAAGAGCCCTACCAGAGTTTATCTCAACCAAAAATGGAGTAAAGTGACACTTTTGATGTCTATTAATGTTCATGAGTTCAAATCTACTTGGTAACCTATGAAAGACCAAATGATCAAACACCTTGGACCTGATCTCATTTCTGCCATTATCTGCAATCAATGAGCACTGAAAGTATGAGATACAATATAGAAAATCTGGTGCAATGCAGTATTGGTTGTACAAAAAATAGGTTTACTATTCACATAGCTAATATTTCAACTTGACTTCATCTGGCATACATAAGAATTCATGACGTTTACATAATATACATGTAAGACTAAAATGCATTACATCACTCCTTTAATTCTCAGGGTGCAATTCCTCCTAGGGCAAATAAGCTGAAGTTCAGATTAACTATCAAGTTAAAAGGAAGACAAAGAAACCTTGACCCCAAGACAGATGATATATATAGAGAGATTGACTCTCGACATTTGAGGCTAATCCCTGTCTCAAATATGAGACAATAACAAGTAGTAAAATAATCTTCAATTCAGCTCTCAGTTGATTCCTAATTTTGCAGTAAAAATATAGATAAAATGGCTGGTATTCATAAATGCATACTAGGTTTATTCTAGGTTTGAACTTAAACTACATAGATACATAGATAGTCAATCGACTATCAAGTGTCAACCACTTCATTTAATTCATTGAAATTACAATAATTCCATAACAAAATAACAAACAAATGCAAAACATGCCAATACAAACTCCATTTGTTTCATTTCATGGCTTGATTCAGAATTCATAATAATTTGTATGGAATTACATTAGGCACCCCATGAAAAAGTAGACTACTGTATATGCCATTATTTGGTAAATTGTTCCCTGGTTTATATGAATTTCACAAGAGGCAAAAAGTAAGCTGGTAATGCATAAGCAAACATGTAATATAATTACCCCGTGTTAGTTATCACAAAACCGATTTGCAAAAATATTTGTTGGTGAAAACATTGGCTTGTACTCTACAGTAGGTTAACCTAGTTTAACTTAGTGTGCTTTTATGAATACGGGCCAGCGACTCTCTGAATTATCATTACGAATCCTGCTGTTCTTTAAGGAACTGGTAGACAGATGAGAAGTCTTTGAGGGAGTATCCCTGGTTGCACATGAGACGATAGATTTGATTGCTGAGGGAGCCCAAAGGGATTGGTGACTTGGTGTTGATGGCTGCTGCATTGGATAAGCCAAGATCCTGTAAGAAGCAAATTTGATTGAAGTTGAGTGTAACATTTGAAAAATAAACTCCACAAATTGACATTCATTTATCTTGATATATAACAGCAATTTCAGGATCCCCATTGAAAGTCAGCTAATTTTGTATATTATAAGTTAACCTGTCAATATATATACAGTGTATTTCTTTCAATGTTTTTTATTTGCTCCAAATACAATACTTGACAATCGAACAAAGTCTAGTAAATATGCTTTAACGACTATATGATGCAAACAATTAGAAACAGAGTCGTTTCAGATCACAGGTAAGACCCTGTGACCTGTAAACGACTCTGTTTCTAGTTTGTACTTGTGTACATCTATATGACTTGACATTTATATCTACATGAGTTGACTATCCATAAATCAATGGGAAGACAGGAAAAAAAGAATATTCCTGCAAGAGTTTGTTCAAGGATGTTGTGTTCGAGTGATATCGCAAATTTGATGTTCATCGTCTTTATGACGAAAATGAAATGTATTATTATTGTATTTTGAAGGAATAACAATGCATTTTGCAGCATTTCACTTTTGATTTAGCCTGATAGTCAGGTGTACTGCACATTCATTACAAATGGGGCATCATTGTAAAGGGAAATAAGGGGGCTTTTTTATAAACCAAATTGAAATATGATAATATAGTAACAAGAGAGATATCAATGCCCAAACTTAAATTGGAGAACTATTTTGGGGAGATTATATGTAGCCACCAGTTCTACTGCAGTTACAAGTATTTGTACAATCTTGCAACCCCCACATTAACTAGCCCCCAATGAAACACCAACAACTACCAGCAAATTGTACTATGACATCTGCCAGCACTCAAATCATTCACAAGCATAAAATCACATTAGTCATCCCATGCCACATAAATGCCACTAATACAAGGCACAATCACATGATAACAAATCATAGTGAACAAGAACCTAACTTCATAAGTAGAAAAACAGCCAATAGGAATAATAACAATTCAAACTAAGTATACATAGTATGGGCACAATCTCTACATCAATCACAGGATTCCCATCCTTAGTAGTGGACAGAAATTGGGGGGGGGGGGGGGGGGGGGGGGGGGGAGGAGTACACACAAAAATGACAACCCCTTGCCCCTTCCCACTTAAATACAAATAAAAAACAATAACAATAAAGCTTATCATATTTTAGGTGCCGGAGGGGTAGACATTGAGATGGCATAATCAGGGGATGCATTTTCAATTATATTTAAGGTATGCCAGAAAAGGTGTTGCCCGGGCATGTGCCCTCCCTCTATGCCTATCCACCCCCACATAATACATGACCAAACTATCTCTCTGGTCACACTCTATGTGACAGTGTGTTCAGTCTTATGGGCTTAGACAAGAGACCCAAACTCATCATCATACCTTTGCCATGAGGGCAGTACCGAATCCTCCTTGATAGTTGTTACTTGATGGCACACCTTCAATGACCCCTGGAACTGGATTGTAGGTATCCACAGACCAGCATCGACCAGTGCTTGTACTTAGGATGTCAGCCAAGATCTTCTTATCCAAACCTAATCTGTAATCATAAGAACAGTGAAACCATATCATACATGTTACAAACTCCTTGACATAAAGGAAAATACCTTGTTATATTGAAACCTCATTATATTAAGGCTAAAAAAAGAAAATACAGAGAAGTTGGACCGGGGGGGGGGGGGGGGGGGGGGGGGGGGGGTGCATACCTGCCAACCTGAGACAAGAGAAATATTAGGAGTAAATTTTTCTGGATGGACTACGAGGTCGCGAACCACCGAAGGATTGGGGTAGTAGCCCGTAGATTGGGGGGGGGGGGGGGGGGGGGGGTACACAGGACTTTAGGGTCTATTTTTTTTCTCTCCATTTTAATGGTGCAAATGGGCCTTTTCCTTCAACCTTTTCGCCCCACACATAAACAATTTTTGAAATATCAAAATGTGAACACTCACAAAACTACATGCTTCACTACCCACCTCAGTTAGGAGCCCTATTTGCAAAGGTAGAAAGATTATGAACAGCACGAGTCTTACCCATTTTGTCCTTCAAAAATGGAGAAATCAACGAAGAAGAAGAATTTAGTAGTAGTAATCCAAAATAAATCTGAGGAAGTCCGGTAAATAACAAGCTTCCACGATCGCAGTCATCGCACAAGCATTGAAGAAAACACGCCAATGTATACAGTGTTTATGCACGGTGTATCAACTGCACATGTAATATAAATACACGTGGGCTATACGCATGCAGTTACTATGCAACAACGCTGCATGTAGTGTATGTATTAGTACAACGTCCGCACACACTTTATCGATATAGCTTGCGCACGTGCTTCCATGTACTAGTACATGCAGTACATGGATAATGACTGCAGTACATGGATAATGACTGCGGAACTAACGATCACGTTCGGGCTGCGCTGTGTATATCTTCTATGAGCGCGAGCGCAGATGTCGGCGTGATCTGGTTATCAGTGCTGTGTTATGCTTTAGTCTTATGCAACAGTCATTTTTTTAAAAATATTTTAAAATAAAAAAAAAATTGGAGTTTTGAGGCATGCACTCGGAATTCGGAGTTGGTATGAAAAATGCGGAGGAACTCCGCCTAAATCGGGGTGGTTGGCAGGTATGGGGGTGGCGTGGAGGACACATGATAGGTATTCTTGCATCAAAATAATACACTTTCAAAATTTACATCAATATTCTATTTTCATGACGATGACAAAAATACACTAAATTATCAAATCATTTTAGATTAGGGTCACATAACAGTAACTCTCCAAATCATATTCTGTCTGGTGCACATTCAAATATTAATGAAGACTGAAAAGGTACACACATGGTGACAAAATTGTGTCTTGCAGATCAATTTGGTTTTCAAAGACATTAGACTGCTATATGTGTACAATCAAGAGAGGAAGAAGAAGATAATAATATGTACCTTGTTCCAAGATTCATGACCTCTGAAACACCAATCATGGAGATGGCTAGTAACATGTTATTGCAGATCTTTGCTGCCTGTACAGTGAAAGAAATAATAATTTAATACAGACACATTATCAATTAACTTTACCATCATCATAATCATCATTACCATCATCATCATTACCATCATCATTACCACCACCATCATCATCATCATCATCATCATCATCATCATCATCATCATCATCATCATCATCATCATCATCATCATCATCATCATCATCATCATCATCATCATCATCATCATCATCATCATCATCATCATCATCATCATCATCATCATGCTATGTGACTGGTCATCTACATACCTCTCCTGTTCCTACTGCTCCAGTATGCCACACCTTCTTGCCCATGTTGAGTAGGAGCTCCTCAGCAGCAACAAACTCTTCAGTCTTTCCTCCAACCATAAATGTCAAGATGCCATCCCTGGCAGCATTCACACCTACAAATTAACAAGCAAAATTCCCCAAAACATTTAGTTCTGCAATCCCTGTTTATAAATACCACGTGACTCAGGTGGGACATGGGATGTGGTCTTTAGAAGCAAGTAGTCTGTATGTTCAGGCTAGTTTTGTATTAAGCACTATATAAAAAACTAAATATTATTATTATTGTATTGTACAAGTTTCAATTCGAATCATTTTGCGACCAAAACATACATTTGGTCCTTACAGAAACGTGATCTTTAAAGCATGGTGGCCTTTAAGATACTATGTCCCTTTTGCAGCCAACACCAAATTCTGTAGAATTTTGCAGGAATTATGAATATGTCATTTCTGTGATATTTAAACGTTAGCAGTATCCTAGTATTCAAATTATGCAAGGAAACCTGTTTACTTGCTAGACTTCACTGTCAGACACTATTGAGTGACTGACTGGCCCTTTTTCTTCTTCGGTAATAACATACATAAAATGAGCTGTAAAGGGTACATGATCATTTGTCTACATCAATAACCTACTTCTTGTAATGGCTAATATTAAACTGATTAAATCTTTGCCCAGCATAATAAGTACGACCATTCGGTACAATGGTCTGAAAATCGGACTATTACTTACTGGCTCTATAGTTCTTAAGTCGATTCGACAACTAATAGTCGTTATTTTTCCAATTAAAGACATTTTCAAGCCCCCCCCCCCCCTTTTTTAGGGAAGTTCTAAATTAGTAGTATCTTTTAAATGCTGTTGGAATTTAACCTTTTCATTTTTTGGCCTGCAAATAGGACATAGTACCTTTAAGGCAGATAAATGTATCATCGTACTTTAAAGGATCAAACCCATGATCTTTGTATCTTTGTTCAAGTATTCAGACCACTTGATTACAACACCTTTACGTGACTAGGTTATATTTGCCATACCAGTACTCACTTCCTATAAAGGCTATTGTCAACTTTCCCTCTAAACATGGGATATGGAGGGCACATGATACTAGTTTAGTCTATTTCTCACTTTGAATAAAGCCTGGGCTTGGTTCTCAGTGCATCAATACGAATGGATTATAATACTGAAATCTCAGAGGAATTGTACAACATTTTGTAATTACTGAAAGAAGGTAGAATATATTGTGGCTGGATTAATTGCTGCTGAAGCACATTTGTACATGTATATCTAGCATTGTTTCTTAATCAAAGATGAGATTACCAGTAGCCACAGGGTGTGATAAGAAGGCACCTATATACTTGACCCTTAATATCATCATCATAAACCAAGACAAGTAAAAAGCTGAATAAGAATACTTGACATCTAATATTTACACAACAATACCAGTATAAGGGTTAATTATGTAAAAGCTGCACATGTTCTGGGAGATCAGTGAAACAAATAAAAATACTTAGTTTATGTTGAATTACAATTGCTCAAAATACATACCAGTAACCTTATAATCTATTTTAATGTACCACACTGTAAAATTCAGCTAAATTTTTTCATGCCTAGTTTCTATTTTGAGCTCCATTTTTCTTCCACTTTGATGCTCAACTCGGTACAAATAATAATGCACAAGGCTAAAGATATATTGTGCATGTAGATAGGTGCTATTACATGTACAGGTAACAATTCATACCTCCTGATACAGGTGCATCCATGAATGTAGCTCCTTTCTTCTCTGCTTTTGCTGCTACATCCTTGGATACTTGAGGGTCAATAGTGCTGCTATCTATCAGTAAGGTGCCTGGCTTAACTGTCCTATAGATTAAGATAAAGTAAAGAATATTGTGTTTATATATAAGGAGGGGAGAGAGTGTGTTTGATGTCATCACCATTTAAATGATAAAAGAAAACAGGCGACTGGAAAAGCTAAATAGGCTATCTTCAGTTGCTGGCCAGTCTTTCAACTGGTTAGGTATCACTAAGACTTGCAGCTGATCAGGCATCTCCTGTGTGTGGAAGGCCCACAGCCAGACCTGCCAACCTCTGGAGTTCAAAAACTGTATTCTTCAGTCCCAAAAGTTGTATTCTTGAAAATAAACATGGATTATTACGCGGATCAATGCCTCTTACAGTTTCTACCTACAGGAAGAATTTTTTTTATTGATCATTGGTTGAAGCATGATTTTGTCATGACTAGTGTGTTCGATGAACCAATGAACATCCCCAAATTGCTGATGTGAGATACTTGTAGGATACTTTACAGGACAGAATAGACATTTTGCCATTGAAAATGGCGGACGCACACACAAAATATTAATCAAAAATCATACTGTCATATTTGCCTCTAAAAATCGTACTAAATACGACTAAATCGTACTGGTTGGCAGGTCTGCACAGCTCCCCACAATCATTATATTACTGAACAACTTTCAGGACCTCAAGCTTGGAGAATTACCGGTACATTTTTTGAAAATCCATATCAAATCAATTATACTTGAACACATTTTAATATAAAGTAATTGATAGAGTGCAGAAGCCTTTACCCTCATAGACCTCAACACTATAGGCTTACATGTACAATGCATTTAGAAATAATTATAGAGAAGTTCCATAACTTTACCAATATGCAATAGGATCATATACATGTATAAGTAGATGGTGGTAGGTACAGTTTTAGCCTTCATTGAGGCATTCTCAATGAAAACTGTAATATTTACTTTTTAAACCTTGTGTAAATGACAACAGTAACAACAAATGCTTGTGGTAACACAACAATTAAAGAAATCCACATGTCTTACGATAAAATTCCATTTTCTCCTGTATAAACTTCCAAGACGTTGGGGCTAGAAGGCAGCATGGTGATAATGCGGTCTGTTTTCTGTGCCACATCGGCCGGTGTGTCTCCAACCTGTGCACCAATGTCTGCCAGATCAGCCACAGCCTCAGGGTAGACGTCGTTGACTACTACTGGGTAGCCCTTGTTGATAAGGTTCTTGGCCATGTAGGCCCCCATGTTGCCCAGGCCAATGAAGCCTACAGGGGCCATGGATGCCTATCAATGAGACAAGGGAAAGAGTAAGGCTTGGTGACAATAAATTTTGATGAGTCATTACAATCACTCATGAATTTCTTTCAACACATCTCACAAACACAAAAATGCCCCTTTTTCCAATTTTCTCATCATCATTTCTTCTTGTAACATACTAATATTTATGAAAAACTTATATCAAAGTATAAAAAGTACCGTGAATAGAAGACGAATATGGTATAAAAAATATTTCATTGATCTTCTTTGTGCTTTAATACATAAAAAACTCTTTTGACCTAAATCATGAAAAGAAATGACTTACCATCCCCTTTGCTGATATCCCCATAACCATCGGAATGAAATATTTGAACAAGGGAAAAAAAAGAAAAACAATAACAAATTAGAAAATAGAAACAACTCATCAAATGATTACATATGGGCAAATTTTATAAATAGGGTGATTCTGTTCTCTTAAAGCCTGTCGGCGCTATGTGTGTGTGTGTGTGTGTAATTGGGTTTTTACAGATGTGTATCAATCAGAAATGATTATTTATGTCTGGGGACCGACCTTTAACGTCACCATCCAAAAGACTAGTTTGGCCAGGAGGGATTAGACCTCCCTGCAAGGTCACTGACAGGTGGTAATCTCATCAAATCAGCTCTCAATGAACATAAAAGAGGATCATGAGGGACCAACAGGCACAGATTAGGCATTATTTGGAATATAGAGGGCGCAAGTATACGTAGTGCAGTGGGGACAAAATGGACTATTTGTCAAAAGTCTTCAATAGTGTCAATTAGCTTGGAACACTTCCTGTTAGATAAAACAAGCTAATACTACTCTCCACAGAGCCTGACATCCCCAATATCTCAACAACAGAGGGAAAAAATGGCAGGAAATTACTATTTCAATACTTTTGTATTGTGCAGCAGTTTGCAGTGAGACCTGTGAGAAAGTAGAACCTATTGTCTTGTTTTCAGGAAAAATACTTCAAAAAAAGATGAGAAAATTGACAAAGAACAGGTAAGGAAGATAATGTCTTTGAAATTGTGACTTAATTATTTGAACAATTGTTGATATCTATTTGATTTTCGAAACCAAGTCGATGCGCTAGTGCCCTTTGAGGGCAGGCATTAAGTAATCCTCATTACCCAGGTCCCTCGGAGAGGACCTAACTAAAGCTGGCGGCCGTCTGGTTGCTTGCTTACAAGCATTTCTGCTTTCTTAGCAGCCAGGTAAAATAACTACCACCAACCATTTACAAAATTACATTCACATTTTGTGATTTTCATCTCAATCTTTTAAAAAGTTCAATTTGGGAGAGATATTAGGGGTCTAGTCTATATTCAAATTTCAAGGTTTTCTTTAGACCAGACCAGAGCAAGAGTTAATTAGACTAAGAATTAAGATAAAATTTAATTGAATGAAAACATTTATCTTGAAATAATGTTTTCCCTTTCCATTTATAGAGTCAAACACAAAGACAGCACAGTCAGACTCAATCAGATTCAGAGTAAAGACACTGCTGCTGCAGTGCTTACGTGCTAGGGCTACGCTATCCGTCCGTCTTCCTCTCCAAAAACATTACATATTACGCAAAGTATGGGACCAAGGCAAAGACAAATTGTGAATATGCGAGTCTGCGATCACGAACCCAGGATACACATTTCTGATTACTGTATTGGGTTAAGTTTCTCACCAGACAATTCTCTACGATTGTAGCATTCCAGCAATCTCGAGGCTACCGCAGGTGAAATTCTGGAGCTCCGGAAGACGATAGAAGTTGCAGACAACATTTTGTTCGCGTTTAGAGACTTTGGTCAACGTCAGAACCCAGATCAGACCATCAATCAATCCATGGCTATCGATATGTTGTGATCAATCGGGGGTACGGTTATATGGTAGGGGTGCGTGGGGTGGGGTGGGGGGGGGGGGGGGAGGGGGAGTAAGACAATATATATGTAGGCAAGGAATAATTTCAAGCATACATATCATGCATTGTTATATTCTTCATCCTAAGTTGTTTATATATATATACAATCAGGCGCGTACGCAGGATTTTTTCAAGGGGGGGGTTTTAACATTCATAAATCGGGCCGAAAATTTCGCAACGACTCAGCCAGCCGCTGAATAAGCGGGGGGGGGGGGGGGGGGGGGGGGGGGGGGGGGGGGGGGGGGGGGGGGGTAAGAGGTCACTTTTTTTTTTTTTTTTCTGGTCCAAAAAAAATCGCAACGACTCAGCCGACCGCTGAATAAGCGAGGGGGGGGGGGGGGGGGGGGGGGGGGGGGTAAGAGGACACATTTTTTTTTTTTTTTGGTCTCGAAATTTGAAAATTTGACATTTTGTCCGTTGGGGGGGGGGGTAAGGTCAGCTTTTTTAGGTCAACCATGGGAATTTTTTTTTTTTTTTTTTTTTTTTTATAAAAAAAAAAAAAAAAAAAAAAAAAAACCAAAAGGGGGGGGGGGGGGTTTTAGAGAAATTTAGGGGGGTTTAAACACAAAAAATTACCAAAGGGGGGGGGGGTTTAACCCCCCAAACACCCCCCTGTGTACGCGCCTGTATACAATCACAAGCGAGTCGATACGAGCTGAATCCAAATGAAGGGCAAAATAAGAGTTGTGAAGCGGCCCTACCGTTTAAAATTTGACTGTTGAGTATATAACTTCTATTTAAAAGACATCCAAAATATTGTGCCCTTTTCAAATTTCTCACTAAAGAGTGATGACCGCAGGGGCTGTTCTTAACGTTTAACTTTGAATCCGCGGCTCGAGATTTTATGCGGCCGGCTCGATCGGCCCCCCTCTATTCAATAACGTTTGCCAATGAGCCTTCTGGAATGTCCCCTAATCTCCGATTACAGTTTTCCCATATTTGTCGTTACTGTCACTTAGCGCCATTTCCTAGCCTTTCCCCCTTTCTCATCGACTTTTCTTCCCCCCCCCCCCCCCCCCTCACCCTCTCAGTGTTATCTAGGGTACGCACATGTATATAATGTTCCCTCTCTTTGAAAGCAGCCCTCTGTCTCCGGTGTGTAAAGTCAGTACGGGCCGGACTTTGTTTCGTGAAAAGTAACTCTTTATCGGAAATTTAGGGAACACAAATTCGGTCCCTCCGACCCCGGAGTTGGAGGGAGGGGGGGGGGGGGGGGGAGGGGGCTTTTTATTTATCTTTTCTCTTCTATTTTCTTTTCTCTTCTTTTTTCCTTTTTCTTCTCCTTTCTTTTCTCTTCTCCTTTTTTTTCTCCTCTTCTCCTTTCTTTTTTCTCTTCTTTTCTTCCTCTTTTTTTTCTTCCTTTTTTTTGCGCCGCCAATAGGGGGGGGGGGGGGGCCGCGGCCGTTTCGGCCCCCTGGATCCGCCACTGTATATATATATATATATATATATATATATGAGTGCTTTAATAGATTTAATATACAAAATATGAGGAATCAAAATATGTGTATCAAAAGTTCTATAGAAATGTCAAATCTATGTTAAAACTTTTCTGATTGAGTGTTATAATTATTTATATGAAATTTATATTCATCGTTTTTGTTAAGTTGTTAGTTATTTAATCCTATATAATTTGAATGAAATATATCACTTGCAGAAAAAATGAGGGTGTGGTCGATGGGGGTCATGACTGCACTGTCCTCTGCACTAGTGATGAATGCCCATCTACACTAAATTAATTAAGTAGAGTACAATTATCATGACTGGGCAATTCACAAATACTTATATTACTTCTGTACAATTAAGCGCCTTACTAGTTGGATTTTATACTTAAATTTCATAGTAAGTCCACGATTTATTTCATTTTCACAATTTCATAGTTACTGTTATTAACTCATAATTTTGTGATGAATTTTTTTCGTAAAGTAATTTCTTGCACTAGGTTCTATAATGTAATTTTTTATTCATAATTATATTATATTCGTATATATATTTGACATTCAAAGGGAAATCCAACCTTGATAGCAAACTAAACGGGAAGAAAGCAGAAAAATCAGAGAAACAGACTGGTAAAAGTTTTTAATGAAATCAGACCCCCAAAATGAAAAAGTTATGATTTTGTAGTAATCACTATAGGCATGGGCCCTTCAAATTGGCTGAATGGGTAATGTCTCTGTGATGTAGTGGCATACAACTTTCCCACTGATTTGTTGAAACACACAAAAAATGTATGACTCAATCAGGAGGGTTTTCTCTCTTTAGAGGATCTACAATATCCCCCATTGGAGAAGGAAGAAACAGATATTAATACTTTTGTACATGATTAAATGGGAGAGAGTTGTTCATGTCTACCCGACTACCTCACAATCCATGGATCAAATTACCACATTGAGAAATGCACTGACCGGTATTAAGCGATTTCAATTTTCAAACATTTATAATTCTTTTATTATTGGTCCGATTAATTTCAAACTTTCAACATTCTGTTTATCTCATTTTTTGCTTTCATACCCATAAACTTATTACAAGGATTGGATTGCCTTTTAATGATCATACATAATATAAAACAACAGAAGTGAATACCGAACATAAAAGCATATCAACAAAATGTCACTCACAGACAAATCAACTTACATCATCACATCCACTCTTATATCATGACAACACATACATTAAGAAAAATAGAAAAACAGCATCGAGTTTGCACTTAGTGATTTATTGCAACCACAGCCTGTCTGCACATATACTCTATCCTTATATATTCCTTCTTCCTAACATATATACATGAATGATACACATTTCACAGATAATATAGCATCATATTAGAGAGACAAATCAGAATGAGAAACTGACAGTTCAGCTAGATTGAGCAGCTAGGACACCACACCACAACCAAGGAGGAGGATATAATTAACATTTTCTCCTAATTTTAGACTAGATTCTGTTAATTACAGGCTTGAATGTATGTGACTACACGACACAAAAACTCACATACTATACCTAGCCCCTCAAACATATTCGTTATGCTATCCTCACTTAACACATTATGACAACCTTTCTAATTTCTGTGCATTTTAATGGCATTACCATAACATTTTATACGATACCAAGCAAAGCTGGTGCTCCACATAAGTAACAACATATATTCATGAAATATCTCTTATTTATTGACTTTCGATGTACATCATGTTTTGGGAGCTACGACAACATATTTTCCAAAGTATTGGAGATATTGAGAGATAAAGACAACCATGAAAGTAAAATATGTAGTAAACTGTATTTGCAAAAAATAATCTAACTTCTAACTAGGTGATTATATCAATTTTACCTGAAGCGCATTTATCAAAAGCAATGGGAAGCAAGTTTCTCTTTGTTTTTTCCTGAAAATTTCAACTATACTTTCTTAAGCAATACAAGAGATATTCATGTACAATTCACCTGTATTCATTACTTCACTCACTGAGTTTAAATAGTACATAACAAAAATAAAATCTTTAATGATCAATGGTTTTAGCACTCATCTATTAAAGATCAATGTTTGGTAAATGGGTTGAAAAACATGAATAAACCATAATGTAAATTGCAGTGATGTAGTCATGGCAACAATTCTGAGTCTGACAAGGTCACTTACAAATATTTCCTTCCATATATTTTGTACACATGTTGGTACAATATTGGGAAAATATAAAAGTCATGCAGCTTAGCTTTATTTGAGCATCTGATAACACAAACAGCTTACTTTTGGCTTGATTATAAAACAAAATGTCCATATTAAGATGATGTGCAGCTGGCTGGGTGTGAAAGACATGCACCTATTCCATTTGAAATATTTTAATTATAAAATAATCCTCAAGTAAAGCCGGGTTTCTTAGGTTAATATCTCAACCCCAGCACAGTTTTTCACTGATGTATTATTCAAATGTTCATGGTAACGACTGTCATGCATAAGGTTTAATTTGTTAGAAACTTTTAAACATTTTTCTTTTATAAAATTATTACTTTGAAGATCATAAATAATACTCTAAGAATTAGCACGATAAAACCTATAAATAACCGTTTTCCTGTTTCAATTACCGACACATACTATGATCATATCCTACATGTACAGCATACAACATAAACATAAATTGGCAAACATACATGTAAGAAAGAAAAACAACTTAAAGTCATCCTTTTCATATCACCTTTGAACAGTCCTCTTGACAAAATAATGGCAACACAAAATATTTGTATAATCATCATTAATATAAAACAATTAAGTACTTTTTTCAGCAAATGTTATGTCTGTACACATTTCTCATAAACAAATATAAAACAAATTTAAACCTCTTGTAACATAAGTACCAAATCCTCTGAGAAAAATTAGCCAAAGAAATTCATACAATTTGAAATGAAATAGGATAGTAAATAAGCTTCCAAAACATGGTCCAACCTCTCTGATAAGGGGACTCATCACCACAAGATAATTTGCACTCTCATTTCTAATGGAAGGGGGGGGGGGGTGTCTATTCTGGTATCATATCATAGAAAAATATCAGCTCCAAATATGAATTTGGTACAGACAGATTGAAATTCAAATAACCATGTAACAACTGACTTGCAATATAAAGTACACTAGTTGATGGACCCACAAGAAAACACAGACAGAAGCTACCCCAACTTAACTGTTTGGCAGGCCTTGCTTTGAAATCATTACCCCTGACCTCTTTCATTGTCCCTGTAAGAACCCAGTATTTGCAAAGTTAAGCCAACCCTGTAGGTACATGTGTAAGGTATGACTTTCATATATACCATATACATATATACAGTTAATAGACTTAATAGACTGTATTCAAAGAATGGGAGATTACATGTAGATTAAACAGCCAACAAGAGTCAACCTTCTATTCAATATATAATATAAACACTACATAATAAATCAAAACATAAAAAAAGAAATATTACAATGAAATGGATGAGTTCCATGATGACATAATGGTTTCTATTCATTTAGTTCCATATGATATGAATATGGAGATGGTGTACATATTGTGTGCATGAATGAATTTGATGACCAGGTAATAATAATATCTGTTAAGTGCTCAGAGACAATATTTCACATAAGGCAGTGAAATGCACTATATAATTCCAGATTTATCATGATTTCAAAGATATGGAAGTTTGGATAAAGAGATTGACATTAAACCCTCCATGCATCAGTGGAATAGTCGAGGATTAAACCTCAACTATATATTGTATGCTTGAATACTTGTTTGCACACGTAATACAATGCAAGCTCATGCTCAGGGATGTTTCTTTGTATTTTGAGAAAACAATCCTCAACAGAGTACAAGTAAATATAAATCATAAATATATTTTCAAAAATATAAGTATTTCCACATTAAGGGCAGTGTGCTTAGTGAATTCTGGGAGAAATGAGTTCCATAATCAAACAAAAATATCCATCACACAAGCCTTTAAAATTAAAGTTTTGAAATTGTGGATATGCAAAAAGGAATGGAAAACAAAGAATGAAATAATATTCCTAAATTTTCACTCCTTTATGACTGCTATTTTACAAAATGTAAACTTGTGCAAATAACAAATTAAAATGGTGGGGACATATTCATCAAAGATTCATGTTGTATACAATAAAACACTTGATATAGAAATTCCTTGATTTGATGCTATAAATTATATCAATTGCGAATTTAGTGCAAAGTAAGTTTTGATAATGCATACATTTTCAAGATGTCCCTAATACAAAGATTAGTCAAATGACCATCACAAAGTAACCAATGCTAATTGTTCCGAGATAATATTTGGAACACTCATGAATATTGCATCAAACTGTACTTTACAATGAAGTGTTACAAAGCCTTCCTATACAAGTACATGTACAAATGCTGTACAAAAGGCAGCCAAGAAAGTTTTTATGAAAGGATTGATAAAGGCAATATTGATTTACCGGTATACAACAGACATGTTCACAATGAGAAGAGAGAAATTGGTTCTACAAGGCTTGAAATTTGGTCTTAGCAAAGCAATAGATAGAAACTGCTATTTATATGAGGTAAAGTGAATAGGTATAGAAATTGATTATAGGAATATATTCCAAAGCTTTACATGTGTACATTCTCAATCTGTACCATAATACAATATATGCTTGAGAGAAATGTAGGTATTATATGCATTTGCTGGTATATTTCAAAATTATGATGTTATAAGATGTGCAGAAGGATAAACTTTGTGTACATGAAGTACACAGAGACTAAAATATTAAAGTACAACAGTACAAAGCATGAGGGTTATGTTTAAACAACATCCTTATACACTAAAACCCATATATAGTGAGTACTCTAATGATGAAGGGTTCCTTTAAGTTCATAACTGGCAAATATGCATTGATCTTAGCCCATTGTCTGCCAGTAAGTTTCTTTTGAAGATTTGTCATGGACAAATTTTCAAAAGTTGAATATGGACTTTTGTTCGAGTTGTTTTTCTACACAATTTTGGACAAAACATATCCCACAGGAATAAACATCACGATGAAAGATTTTTTTTTTCTGTAGGAGGAAATTGAAGGTGTAGTAATTCCAAGTCCAAAGACAATATCCAACTCTCAAAGTCACCCATGGCATAGACAGGCTAAAATCAGCTGTCCAGTTTAGATATGAATGATTAAATTCCAGACGAAACCCTATGTCCACTCCAATTTGCATGCATCCTTAACAACACTTAACAAGGCATATAGATGCCACATTTGCGAGAGAGTGAGACTCCATAAAAAATCTCAGGAAAGTTGCAAGAGAAGAGATGGGTGATCCCAAAACATGAATGGAGTTATACATTGGAAGACAAAGACAATACTATATTGATAAATAAGCAATATATCGGAAGACTAAGACGATGCGGTGATGGTCAATTTGCGATGTAAGGGAGCAAGAGAGATAGAGACGAAGATGATGTTGATTAATGCATCAGTCCTTTTCATCTAATGATTTATTTCAGGGGATCCAAGTCCATAATTGAGAAGCTATTTGATGAGGCACCAGCGTTGGAGGTGGATACGTTCTGAAGGAAAAAAGTGAAAAGTGAAGGAAGGATATATCAAAAATACATGTAAAATGATGTGATGGGGGAGGGCTGGTGCTATGGTCTTTCGTACCAATGGTCCTATGATTAACAAAAGCCACTGCACGCCTTACAAGCTGACTATGACTCCATTATAACAAATACGTGCCCATATATGGTTTGAACATAAATACTTGGCAAAGATACATGTGTAGCACCATTATAACCAGAAAAAAAAAAACCACAAAACATTTATACTTACAGAAAGGTAGAAATCATTATGTTCATATGATTATGAACTAAAAGGATTCTACTTAAGGGATTATATAACTTGAGGGATTATATAATTTGAGTGATAGTGCCATAAATACAATGGTATACTTCTGCATCTGGATGAACAAGTATATATGTTCAGTCATGTACGAATACATACATGTGGAAAGAAAGTGACTGATAAATAAATTTTAATGGGATTAAACAACAGATAAATAAAGGGTAAGGAAATAGTGGCTACCAGAAAGAACCAGAAATAACAACCCTTGAGTTCATATCTGAAGTCATCAACAGCATTTAGATCCCAAGGAGAAATGATATAACAACAACAACAACAATAACAATAAAAAAAACTATAATAACAATAATAATAAAAAATAATAACTGGCTTAGAGTGTCTTTTGCATCACAGAACATAATAAACAACATACTGGTTTAGGCCTGTTATTCTGATTCCTCACAAAGGGTCCCCCTTCAATGTGGTAATTTTCACTAATGTCGTTTAGTCCTTCAAGCAAACTTTACTGAAATTATTCTGAATTTAATTCATTTCATTCCTCAACGTTGAAATTCTTGAGGAAAATGTTCTGAAAACCTTCACTCCCTATGGATCACTATGTTATACATCATCTTATAAATTAGACATCCCTTACAGCTCATGTAATAGCAGATGAACATCAATAACATTAATTTGAGTTACCTCCTGCCCTTACATGGTCATTTACAGTACACAGTTCAATCTTACTCAAAATATTAACCCATACATACATTAAAAATAAAATATCAGGAAGAAAAAACAAACAAAAAGTGATCACAGAAATAAATAGATTGTCATTAAATAAAGTTATCAATTTAGTAACAGCTACAAAGCACAATTGACTCTGTTGGTGTTATAATTTAGAAGAAAAAACCAGACATATTGGCTGCATTCTGACTTCCTAAACCTATAAACATTTAGTAAAAATACAAATACAGGTAGTATTAAACTTTTAGAGGTTTGGTCCTTGATTTAAACTTTATCTTTGTGTAAATAAATGTATAATAATAATACTAGTGTTATTTAAACAAATGCATATTGCACCCAATAATATTATTTTGCTTTTCAAGCATTATTGAGGTGTCCCATCATTTAACAAATAACTTAAAAAGTACAGTGCTGGTTAAAAAATGACCTCACTGACAGGTAATTCAGACAAAAACAAAAGACAAACAAATAATCTATCTTACTGATGACCCCTTGTTGCTTAAGAAGTCCAGATCATCACCAAATCTGAATTCTGTGGTTGATGGAGCTGCAAATGGATTGGGAGATGTTGTTGCTACTCCACTTCCATTCATCTTAGAGGCTTTTGAAACGGCAGCATAGAGGTCGTCAAGGCCGACTACTGCAAGTTGAGAAAGGTAGAGAATGAGAAGTTAATTATTACAGCAGAATCTTGCATTCCTTCATTTATTCATTCATTGGTGGAGGTTACCATATCAGTCAACAGCCAAAAGCTAATTATTGTCCAAATAAATTTGTTGTAAATTGTATTCCCTGAACTACATGTATTACAGAGTGGTAGAAAGGGGAAAAATTAAATGCTATATATTTAATGAATATCTTTCTGATGAGTCAAGCTTGAAAATACAATTCTTTTTACATAGAAAATAGATTTAATAGAGTATTGACCTGCCCAAAAATCAAGTAAAATAACACCTGCAATGATCAATTTATTTTCCTTATCATTCCATCATTACACTTGGTAATAGAAACCACACAAATTGTACACATACATATCTCGGATTTGGCTCTGTACATGTAAAATGAAAAATGAAAAAACGTCTTGCAACATAGTTCAGTCTTCATGCTTCTTTTTTGCAATAAGTTTAGGTACAGGATACCAGCAGGTGTACTGTCGTACTGTTGAGGTACAGTGCAGGTGTATTTATAGTGTCTCAATAAAAGTTCTACAAGGAACTACCGTTATACATGTGCAGCTTCTCTTTACATAATTTCACATAGTTGGGTGCTTAAAATGTTACCATGCTAGAACTTCTGTATTAGCCTATTGGATAACATTTTATTTTGACATATCACACATTTCCTATAGATTCCAGGATGAATGAATGATGTTCTCCAATGTAACTCACCATTAGGACTTGGGGATGTAGGGAGAGGTGAGGTGGCTGAATCCCCCCTCACTCTCATAGTCCTAGGAGGAGGTGCCAGAACTAGGCAGGAAAAGCAAAGAAAATTGCATCAACGTATGAGCATAAATAGGGAAACAAATATTTCCAAGAAATCACTACTTTAAATAGTCTTACCTTTAAGAATAGAATGTCCAGCATTTGGGGGTATTGACGATAGCGAGAATTTAAGGTTAAATCTTGAGATTACGTAGAAGAAATTTTCAGTTCATTGTAATCTGGTGGATACAACCCGATTCAATTACAATCAAGCACTTTGCATGAACTTAAATTTTGTTTCTTGTTCTGCATGGCCGTCATAGTGACTCAATTAAAACAATAGGTTACATTTCAATTTTACATTAGAAATAGTATGGACCCAAAACATTAAGACTTCATACATGTTGTTGCCAGGATATATGACTGATAATTATGTGCAAAAGGAATACAAAAATGTTTGATGCTGATTCTGTTATGATTACCTCCTGGTCCTTGTGATACCGCTTGAGGTCTCGGTCTACTTCTGGCTATTGCTGGATCCACTGCAAAATAGACCATTAAAGAACAGATTAAATACACAACGTGAATGTCAGGAGCTGGACTTAAGAAATATAAATCCAAAAGGCCTTGCTGTATTCTTTAGAAAAGAGTTCTATGAAACATCCAAATATCATTTACCTAAGTGACAGTTTTGGTGTCGATGACCTTCCTCAGACTTGGACTGGCAGATGAAAGCTAGCTGCCAGTTTCCTAATTTCCAAAGGATGTTCATTTAAAATTTTTGTATAAATATATCCTACATGTCTATATGAATCTCACCCGAGGGCTGTGCTGGAGGAACTAAAGAAATGGGTGATTGAGGTTCGACAGGAGCCGGCTGTGTGAAGATGGGCGCAGATGCTTCAATGTGCCTGGGTAGGGGTGCAGGGGGTGGTGGTAGGAAGGGCTCGTTGGTCTTTGGAGTCCCTGCTGGTGCTGGCGCCAGTGTTAAGGGAGGGGCAAAGGCATCCTCAAACGCAGAAGAAGAGGAGGTGGAGTTTGTCCTGATGGACGTGTAGGCTGCAGCCTGCATGGCAAGGGTGTCCTTGGCAGTGGGGTTGGAAGACTGGACGAAAACCCCTGATGGTGATGAGGGCTGAGATACCTGGAAGATGGAGGAAGAGGGAAAATACAGAGTGGAAAGAATTAGATTAATTTACCAGGAAGAGGAAGGAAGTGAAAGGAAGTGAATAGTGACAAGAGCAAACTAGAGCAGAGAGCTGTTTATCTCTGGAAGCTAAAAAGAAATTTGGAAACCTTGGAAAGAGCTCCAAAGAAAAAACAATAACAAAAATAATGAAAAAAATACAATTCAATTCACTTCAAGAAAATCTTCCTTTATAAAATACAGAACATCAGAAACATGAATTCAGTACATGTAACTACTATAGCCATAGATACAAGGAGGACAAAGAGTCATAAGAGAAAGGAAAAGAAAATTTCAAAAGAATACTGAAATGGGAAAGTAGAGAAAAAGCGACAGAGACTGGAAATGAAAAATAATAGTCTTGACATACAGGGTGAGTCAGAAAAAATGTCCCACTTTTTAAAAGTTGTATTGTTTGAAGTATGAATATTTAATTAGGGGTTTAATGATATGTCTTGTTAGAGTTATCCTCCCAGTTCATTTAGGTACCATTTTCATTTTAATCCCTTCATGCACGACTGAAAATCAGACAATCTTTACAAGACTGCCATATTTCACTTGCGCCAACTTACTGGGTGAGGAATAAAACAGTGCATTGAACAAAGACAGTCAGACAGACAGACAGACACACACACACACACATACGTGCACTCCCACAGTTCATTTAATAAAACATTACAATATATAATGATATTAAAACAATCCTATTTAGACTTTTCCTACATAAATGTGAATGTGATACAAGAAGCCATGCCAAAACATTCGGATTATCATCAATACTGGAATAAAGAAATAATAATTAAAAACATGCATCAAATGGAATTAGAATATTTTGTTTTGTGTCGAGTATGTGTTGAATTGCAAAACTGAGTCAAAATCAAAGTAAATGAAGAAAGATGCTCAATGTTAATCAGCATGCACAAATTAACGAAGACATAATTAAGACATATTCTACTCAGCCGATCATTAGTCTTTCATGCTATATTGCGGATGCTACTGTAGATGAATCTGAGTTGCCTTGGCCAAGCCCTAGCTTCCAACAATCATATTAGGGTTTCAATATTCAATTAATAACTGACCCTGTGGCTTTTGACATCTGACTTCATGAATCTAGCCCGGGCTCTATTCAGTTCATCTCTTTATGCTCATGCACATACAATTTTCACAGGGGCAAATATGTTTTGCATAACTTGAAACCCACTTCCAAGGTATGAAGTATTTTGATCCAAGTTTGATTAAAATTAAATTGTTGAATGGTTCCCAAGTTATTAATTCAACAAAAAAAGTCTTTCCTCATCATATATGAGGTATTGCATGATGGGATGTAAGCAGTAATGGATTTTGCAATGTCATGCAAACTTGCATATTATTTGAAGCTCTTTGTTTAATCTGTAACCTTTAAGTCCACTAGAAGATTTATTGCAGTAACAGGCTCTGATGATGATTGAAATTGTCCAAAATTTGATTCTGAAGGCTGACTGAATGGATTGTATTTGGCAGATCCACCGTTGAAGCTCTGTTGGTCGTTGATTGACAGAAGTTTGAGAGAAGTTTATTTACATAGAAGACAAAATGTAGACATGTGCATATATGTAATACGAACAAGAAACATTGGTAAGCACAAAAACAACAACATGGAGGCATTCATATACAACATTCATAAGAGAGATGTTGAACACAAAGAAAAAGAGATTGAGAGTAAATGCCTTTATCTAGATTCAATCTTCGCTCTATAAATTTGACATTTTTAAAGAATGAACAAAGTGGTATCTGTATAAAGCCTGCCTTAGGAATTGCAAAATTCAGTTTTGTTTCTTTCTCCATAGTAAGGGCTAGATTGTACTAGATTATAAATTTCATATCCTAATCATATTTATCAGTTACATAATTTCCTCATCATCTCAATAATGACAATTTAATCTTTAATGACTTTATAAACCAGTGATGTCTTTTTTGCAGTGATTTAATAACATATCAGTTTCAGTTTTAACAGACAATAAGCACTGTCTAGCTTTTTGGCAATTCTGAAATGTGTCCCATACCACATCAGTCCATTTATTTCATTCAAAAATGAAAGTCTCTTGCTATGATCAGTGACTAATGACAGTCGATAGTTGATGATTGATCTATTGATTTCTATATCATCTTTTCAAACATTCAAATATCCAGAAAAGCCATCAGTAAATGATCATATCAGAAGATAATAACTTGTATGAACTATTAAGTAGACAATAGAAAGACACACTTGATGAGATGAGTCTTTACCTGTTCTCCATTAGCCTGCAGTGTGTATGATGGATTCAGACCTTGTTTTATCTCCATCTCATTGATCTTCTGCTTTAGAGTCTTATTCTCTTCTTCTAGTTCATTCACCTGATGGGAAGAAAACGAAAAACAAAAGGAATACTTGAACTTTGTCTCTGTTTACTCCATATATCATACCGTATGTGGGTATATACAAGATAGATTTATTACATGTAAGCCTAAGGGAAAACAACGCTTTAAATAAAATGCAGGGATATCCAGTCAGTTTTACTCACTGGGACTGAAAAGAAGCCAGAACACGTTAAAGCCCCATATGTGCTGTACAATAGAAAGCCTGAAAAAGCCTGAAATGGGAAGTTGTCAGGGCCTGAAATCAGGCAAAAGCCTGAAGACTGTCATGTCTGAAAATGGAACCTGAAAAGACCCAGCACTGTATTAATAAGTTACTGAAGAGGTAACCATTGCTTTCCACAATAGGCATACACTGTACTACAAAGATTCATAAGTTGCATAAAATGAAATGTGGAGTCCAATATGCTTATCAATTACTAGACGTTTGCCAAAATTGGGATTATACATAAACATAATGGTATGATAAGCAACAGATAATTATGACTTGTACTTCAAAGTTTTCACATTTAGTACTAATAATTCTCAATCACTCTCATTTGTTTCATAAAAAATCACTTCATCTGACGATCATTCACTTCAGAGCAATGTGTATGGGTCATAAACGTATCGTGCTTAAAATCATGTGGGAAAATAGGTTGTCTATTTTCACTTGACAATACCAGGATGTTAAATGGGATTGCAATAACTTCTTCAAATAAAATTTCTAACCATAGTTTAATGAGATATGACAATAAATTGACAATGAGTTATCTATTGTCATGGGAAATTGGCGAGGCTTGAATATGGCCATTTGCCAGAAAGCTCTCAAAATACAAAGAACACATGTCCATTTGGTGACAAAGCTTCTTTACTCGCCAGCATGGTTTTGTGTGGGTGGTGTTTATGTCCTGCTAGCCTTTGTTTTCTTTTGGGTGGAAGCCTTTAATGATTGTTTTGTTACACCCTGATGGGTAAATGGTAATATTGATGTAAATAGGAAACAATCACCCCAGATGGGCGACTCCCAAATTCTCATCAGATGAGACAGATAATGTAGACCACAAGGCTGTCATTATTGTATGGTTAGGGGACTTGTGCAATTCATCCACTTGAACTAATTGAGAAATAAACTATATCTCTTTGATTTAATATACAATGTAATTCCAACCATGCAACATTACACAAATAACACATAACAACATCAAAGAAATGTAAAGGTACAACTAGAAATGGAGCTCACAATGCTGTGGGATCTACTGCTACCTTCATGACATGTCAATTTTACAAAAAAGGAAATGTATTTTCATATTATACAAAGTACATGTGATTTATTTGGATGAGTATTTGTTTGAAGAAAGATAAATACACACTTGATTGTATTCCAAATATTAAATGTTACAGGAACATAATAAAGGAAGCTATTCAGATACAGGCATAGGCAAAGACTAAATGAACATTATCAGTAGAAGTGAAGTAGAAGTGAAGGAGAAGAGAGAAGAGAAAGGGACGTGTTTGTAAATGTAAGTTAATTGTTATAGAGGGGCAGAAAAAAGGAGGAAAAGAAGATAGATAAGGAGAAGAAAGACAGGGGGAAAGAGGGAGAGAGAGAGAGAGAGTAAGATGAAGGAGTAGACCAAAAAGAGGGAAAATGAGAAGGAAGGGAAGTACAGTGAGGAGGGGAAGAGGGAGAAAGAGAAGGGTGATGGAATGGGCCATTAAGAGAGAAAGTTCGGAGGGGAGAGAGCGGGACAGAAGGAGTGAGTAAGGGTTAAAACAAGGGGCTGAACAAAGAAAAAGTAGGGAGGGAGAAAGGGGTTGGATGGAAAGGAAACAGGATGGAAGGGATAGGAAGGGGAAAAGAGTGATAGGAGGGGAGGTAGGAAGGAAGAGGGATGAAAAGAGTGATAGGAGGGAAGGAAGGGATAGGAAGGGGAAAAGAGTGATAGGAGGGGAGGTAGGAAGGGAGAGGGATGAAAAGAGTGATAGGAGGGAAGGAAGGGATAGGAAGGGGAAAAGAGTGATAGGAGGGAAGGAAGGAAGGGATAGGAAGGGGAAAAGAGTGATAGGAGGGAAGGAAGGAAGGGATAGGAAGGGGAAAAGAGTGATAGGAGGGAAGGAAGGAAGGGATAGGAAGGGGAAAAGAGTGATAGGAGGGGAGGTAGGAAGGGAGAGGGATGAAAAGAGTGATAGGAGGGAAGGGAGAGGAAAGGGAAAAGAGTGATAGGAGGGAAGGAAGGAAGGAAGAGGGATGAAAAGAGTGATAGGAGGGAAGGAAGGGATAGGAAGGGGAAAAGAGTAATAGGAGGGAAGGAAGGAAGGGAGAGGGATGAAAAGAGTGATAGGAGGGAAGGAAGGAAGGGAGAGGGATGAAAAGAGTGATAGGAGGGGAGGAAGGGAGGGAGAGGGGTGAAAAGAGTGATAGGAGGGAAGGATGGAAGGGAGAGGGATGAAAAGAGTGATAGGAGGGAAGGAAGGAAGGGAGAGGATTGAAAAGAGTGATAGGAGGGAAGGAAGGAAGGGAGAGGGATGAAAAGAGTGATAGGAGGGAAGGAAGGAAGGGAGAGGGATGAAAAGAGTGATAGGAGGGAAGGAAGGGAGAGGGATGAAAAGAGTGATAGGAGGGAAGGAAGGAAGGGAGAGGGATGAAAAGAGTGATAGGAGGGGAGGAAGGAAGGGAGAGGGGTGAAAAGAGTGATAGGAGGGGAGGAAGGGAGAGGGATGAAAAGAGTGATAGGAGGGAAGGAAGGGAGAGGGATGAAAAGAGTGATAGGAGGGAAGGAAGGAAGGGAGAGGGGTGAAAAGAGTGATAGGAGGGGAGGAAGGAAGGGAGAGGGGTGAAAAGAGTGATAGGAGGGAAGGAAGGAAGGGAGAGGGGTGAAAAGAGTGATAGGAGGGAAGGAAGGAAGGGAGAGGGGTGAAAAGAGTGATAGGAGGGAAGGAAGGAAGGGAGAGGGGTGAAAAGAGTGATAGGAGGGGGGGAAGGAAGGGAGAGGGATAAAAATAATAAAAGAGAAGAAAGTGGGAAGGAAGGGTGGGAGGAAAAGAGGTAAGAAGTGCAAGAGCTAGCATGAGAGAAAGAAAAAGAAAGGAACAATTGAGTTGAGAGTAACACTGGTATAGGACCTAAGGAGAATAGAGTTTATATGAACGGAAGAGTGGGAAACATGTGAACACATAAACGACACTCATAAAGCAGCTAACATGAGCAACATTTCCTGCAGGAAGTCAATCAAAACTGGACCAGAAGTTACCAGACATAATTAGCACGTACTTAGGTGTCCACCCCAAGGGAAAACTCAACAGGAATCTGCCAATGGCAATGCATATACAAAAAGTTCCATATCTGAGTTTGAAATGATAATAACAGTAGAAACTGGAAAGTAAATCGAATTTATGATTTTCTTTCTTAGATGCAAACATGCATGATTAACAGTAAATGATGCAAAATTATAGAAAATCACCTACATGTAATTATTTAAAGCTAAATATAAAATATTTGAATTGTAATATTTTCAAAGGAATTGTAATGGCTACTGGTGTTGTACAAATGTTTCAATCATACCTACTAAAATAGTCATTTTGTATCTAACTAAAACAGTAGACATAATTTTCAATTATATTTATCAGTGTCAAGAGACTATTATGGTAAAATTCCCTACCCCCTCATGACCTCAATTCTGTTCTTAATGTAGGAATATTTGTTAATGTTCTTGATATTACCAACAGTTCAGTTCTTTTCCTGATTCTCTCACTTTCCATTATGTCCCAATGTCAATGTCCCTAAAACCTCTGTTTGTCAGTGTTATGAGCTATAATAAAATTGAACTTACTTTTTAAACACTGACCAGAATATCATAGAAAGCCTTCTTGAATAACGAAGGAAATCAATGAGCATTCAGCTCTTAACAAAAGAACTTGATACGCCGGATAAAGGGGTTAAATGGGGACAGTAGCCAGGAAGCAGAGAGAGATAGAGAGGAAAGAGAGAGGAAGAAATAAGAAAACATGAGCCACAGAGAGGGACAGTGAGGGACAGAGAGGGACAGTGAGAGACAGTGAGGGACAGAGAGGGACAGTGAGGGACAGTGAGGAGCAAGTCGCAGGTAGTTGGTCATTAGATGTCCAGTACGTCACACAGTATTGTCGAGTTCTTAATTAACATATATCTTGACATCAAATAAAGTCTTTTTATTTCATATTGGTCAAATAAAAGTTCTAATAGGGCTATTAACGTAATTACAATCAGCAGATATAGACTTAAATCTTAGATGCGGTTTGTGACTTACAGGACAATAGCTTGGACTTGCACAGAGATAGAGAGATAGAGAGAGAGAGAGAGAGAGAGAGAGAGAGAGAGATAGAGAGAGAGAGAGAGGGGGGAGAGAGAGAGAGGGAGCGATTGAGGTAGGGAGAGAAAGAGAGAAAGGAGTGTGAGAGATAATTATGTTAGATACTTGGCACATTTCAGCAGAACATTAGAAAGGCCCTGTACATGTAGCTTAACCCTTCTACTTCAAAACAGAGAAAACCACCATATAAATTCAGAAGCAATCTTGGGCTCCCTGCAGCGAGGGAGTTAAGAGGCCTTCCTTTCCTCACAACCTCAGGATGACCTAAAGACATTTGTTGCATGAGACTGACTATGAATCAGAAGAACTTTGGACTCAAGATCGGGTTTTTCTCAGGAAGTGGGTCTTCACATTGGATGATTTGATAAAGACTGACAGTCAGTCAGATGACTAAAGGCTACGTGGGCACAAGTATGTAACAAAAACAAGACTGGCAGGATTTTAAAGGGCAACATCAGCCTCCTTTTAATTATGAGAGATAGGGAATCCTCAGCGTCTATTTTCTCCTTTGCTGCTACCTGAATTAAAGAGAAGAGGGATCGTTTAACAATGTTAAATCTGAGATACAAGGCCCTACGTGTTATCAGTGTCTGTGATATGGTGTAATATTGAAGCCCTAAAAAAATTGCGCTTCAAAATGATCAATAA